TATCCTAAGTCCGGAGGAAACCCCCGATTCTGCAGCCATCAGAACATGATGTGGACACAGGAGCTAGGAGATCATGTTGCAAGTCCACAACTTATGTTTTAAAACATGGATAACAGTCAGATGGGAAATTCTTCAAGGGGAAACCTCAATCTGGCCTACTGGGAATGTTCTGGCAGAGCTCCTTCTGTAACACCCTTGTCATGCACTCAGAGCCCACTAATGTTCTGTATAATTGCAGAGTGAATCACTGCATCCCATTTAGCCTAGAAGTAATGAAGACCCTCAGCCAACACAGAGAGAGAGGAAAAGCCCTTTAGAAGAAGGGCTGTAAAGCAGTTTAAAGAAGCAACTCTATCAGACTGAAATAATTCAGGACAATATGCATGTAAACAAATGTGTTGAATGCTTGTATTTGAAGTTTAGTCAGGTGTGTTCTCATGCTCTAGTTATTAGAATTTAAGGGCTATGAAAAACAAATTGTGCTTCTGTTTTCCTTAGCAGGCATAGAAAGTATTAAATTTCCAATTCAAGTAGAACCAAATTACTCCTTTGAGCAAGTAGCCTTTCTTGGGCTACTGATAGGGGTACAGACAAGCCGACACATGGCTTTTGAAATAAATATTAATTTTGAACACTTATAAATACTATAGCAGACAGACATTGATTTGAGTTGGGGTGAGTGAAAGGCAGAGTTAACCTTGATATGAGATATATGTACTAAATAGGATACAGGTCCCCAGTGCTTCATTAGGCTGGATCCACTTCTGAATTTCCATACTGAGTGCAAGCAAAGAAATCTTTCTGAACTTGTGGAGTGAATCCCCTGTGCACAGAAGTTATGCTGCTGCTTTAGCAATATTCATTATGGACTCGCTGTCGGTGCCATACTAGAAATTTACTTTTGGAGGTGGAGCAAGTTGTCTTGACTCACCAATATTGGAGGATGTGGTGATTGTTGCTTTCTCAGTTGTCTTTATCTGTATTATTTTGTGCACATGTGAACTTGTTATCATAGCATCTTATTTTCTGTCTTTGAACCACTATAAAAAGCAAGTTATCATTACACTCACATGAAAATGACATGTGGGCATTCGCAGAGCTGTAGGAGACTCAGATCCCAAAGGCACCATTTCCCCCTGCAAAGCATGTCTTTCATTGTGCGTGTGTAAAACTTACTTGTACATATTGGGCATACCCTGTTCTTTTTTTGGCATTAATTATTGATTGATAATTAATTAGGGATATCTGTTTTTGCTGCCCCTGGGTTGCAATTTTATTTGTCAGAGAATTGTAAAATTAAGTGGCCTGGGTAAATTACCAGGTAAGGGTTTTTTTCCCCCATAGAAATGCACTTTGCCATCACAGATCTGTGAATTGTGGAGAATATGCTGTTAGCAGTCTTCACAAGAAGGCTAAGTGGGCATAGAACATAAACTGCATCCTCTTTCCTGGAGTTACTGTTTCCAAAATAGACCTGTGACAGCAGTAGACAATTAATGGTGCATTAAGAGAACATTCACCTGTGGGACAGCAAGTTCTTTGGCTTCCTGCCCTGCATCCTCTTTTCTGGGGTGTCTCCTCTCAGAATGTTAGCAAACTTTCTTTTGTAATAAGAAACTTGGAAAGGAGAAAATTTTATTTATTTATATTTTCAATTTGTAGAGCCATGTAGGGTAAATAAGTCCTAAAAAGAAGTGTCTAGCTTTGTAGACATTTATTTGTGTTCTTCCTGGTATTCAGCTTGGTGCCTTAAGTCCTGCTTCCTTTCTCTGAGCAGTCTGATACTCTGAAATGTTCTGTACAGCTCAGCAGAAATAGGAATTTGCTTTGTCTAAGTCATTTAATAGCTTTTAAATCCCAATGGATTACAAATTTCCAGGGTACTATATGCTGGCTGTATCTTGATCTCCAGGACTTGGACATGCTTTGAATTGTTTCTCAGTAACTATGAATAGAATTGTTAGTTAAAGCCAAAGCAGTGAGAACAAGTGCTATCACAATAAGAATAGAGGGATGAGGGTTAAATAAAATGTGGATTGAGGAAACTGTTAAAATCTGGAAGTTAAATTGTGCAATAGCCTTCATGCAATCACTAATGAATTGCATCACTGAAACATAGTTAACACTTCCCTAGGTATCATTTCTAGAGCCATGTTTAGGCCTGGGAAAAATAAGCTAGGTTGGAGGGCACCAGGCTTCAGAAGCCACACTCCAGCAGTCTGCTGTGAAGTGCAGTGGCACTTCCATGAGGCACAGGACAACTATTGGAAGGGGACAGGCAGCACCAAGGCATGGCCTGGGGCACTGATAAAGCAGAAAACTGAGCAACTGTAGTTTAAATAAAAGATGTAACTCTCTTATTCTAGATTTAGAAGGTAATCAAAACTATCTAGATGGTCTAAACTATACAGATGGTCTAAATAAAGACTCCAATCACAGTGGAGTGCTTCAGGAGAACTTCTCATCTCATGGATAGAGGCCTTGTGGTAATTCCAAGTTTGTCCTTCAAAATGCTGCAAATGAAATACAACTGGAAAGAATCTTAAATAACCTACAAATATAAAAACCCACTCTGTCATCAAACTATTTATTGAAAACAGCTTGACTCAGCAGTAGCAGCATCTTTTCATTGTCTACAACACAGCAACATAGGCTGATTATTGTCTGCATAGAAAGAATGAGACGAGAAAACCATTTGTCTCTCAGGAAATTCAGTGACATAAAAATGTCCATTTTCAAGAGAAACTATTTAAATTATTTGAAAACTTTGTGATCTTTGGATAAAACTTATGTTTTGTGTCTATCAGTGAAGGATCAAGTAAGTTGATTCATATATACATATTTATATGAGCTAAGAAGTGCCAGGCTCCTTTCTTCTTAGGAAACTGAGAAGTAACCTTCTTCACAGTAGGCATCAGATTAATATTTTAAAACTTCTCAACCAGTGGAGTTGTTGCCATTAAACTCTTAATTAAATGAAAAATGAGGAAAGCTCATTTACTTGAGTGGTACAAGGTGAACATTTACCATAAATATCTAAAGAGATGGAAATGGCTGAGGTTTTTCTCCAACTTCCTCTCTGAGTTTATTATGGTGTTCTTGGAACAGTTCTACAGACTGCAATAGCATCTGCAAATAAGCACATGTCCATCACTTAAGCTTAATTAATGAAAGGCTCATTTATTTAAAGGTTCAGATTTCTAATATTTATTGCCAGATCGCCATGCAAGGTTCATGTGCATTTACCCTTGAGTGCTTTAGCTTTTCTTTTTTTTTCTGTATTACCATAGTATGATTCCTTCAAAAAAGCTTGTAATAATTTTTAGTGTTGGCAAATGACTTAATGTGGTGCTAAGCCTTTTGGGATACATAGCACCAAAACAAGATACTGCTTGAGGCAGACAAATTAGTCTTGTAAACTGGATCCTAACCCTATAATGATCCAAATGAAATGCCATCCTAACACTCCATATGTTGTGCCCTGATGGTGGAAGTGCCTACAGTCTGTGCTGTGAGGATTGGGATGCTCTGGTTTCACGTCTCTCATTAACTCAGTAAAGCTATTTATCTTAAAATGAGGAACGTTCTGCCTTCCTGAATGGGAGCTAACATCCCTTTATTAAAATGTGTTTGCAGATATGCTTCAGCTGCAACCTTACTTACCCCTATGTGCACACAGAACAACTCACATTCCTACCTACAATTTACCCTCTGCATGTCAACATGGCCTCTGCCCAGAAACACTTCCAGTGTTTTCTTCTCCTCTTTTTTCTGGGTACCTAGAATTAGGGATTTCACTGCACAGCTCTGTCATATCCATAGCACTTCTTCCTTCCTTTCAATTCAGTAGGGGAAGATGATAAAAGGAAACTGTTCCTTGTCAGTCTAGGAGAACTGAGAAAAGAGCCCAGTAAGCTGCCCATCGATTCTTTGCGAAGACTGAGTCAAGTCCAACAATAGTCACAATGCTATTCTTGAACAAAAAGTTGCCTTTTTAAGATTAAACCATTTGGCAAAGTTCAGTCCATGTTTTATTAAGGTATCAAATCTGTCTAGGATTTGTAGAATTCAATTCCAGGGGAGATCTTTGTCTTAATCTACTGGCCTTCCTTATTCTGTTTCTGACAGATCAGAAATTAAATAATCTAAAGAAAACAGGCAAGAATAAAGAAGGCCAACGTGCATTTCTTATTTACAATTGGGACATATCTTGGTTTTTTAAAATTATTTGAAAGAAATGTTTTTAAAACTGGAAATTTGATGTAGCAAAAGAAAGACTTTTAAGAAGCTGAAATCTAATTTACTAAAAATGTTTAGTAACAATGACTTTGTTGTATAACTGGAGTTAAACATCTGCTAAAATACCTAGTAAATACAGACTTGCTTTATAATCTTAACAGACACTGAAAAGCAAGGACAATTTGTCAGAAGGCTGAGAGAAGTAATGGATATTTAAAACCAGACTAATTTAACTAAGTTTTATAGTAGCCCAGCTTTGACTTTATTAATACGAAAGCTAACATGTATATGACCTCTGCAATGGATTTAGTTCTACTTTTCACCTCTGCAAGTAAAAGCAGACTTGGTTACTTGCTATGGACACAAAAATATTCATGGTTGCTCTTGTGCTAATTTTCCCCCCACAAACTTAAGTATCTGCATTTCTGTCCAAGTTTTGCTTTTATGTGTAGAAATTCTGTCTGAAGATGCATCTGCAAGCAGAATCTAGCACAAAATTATTTCTATTCAAGAAGTTATTTGCATCTTCATGAACATCTGGGATAAGAATTTTGTACTTGGCAACATGTATAGAGTGAATGGGAGCTGGACATCTGAATCTCAGATGCAGTGGTTACTCAGATGGCTTAGCAGTTGTTTGGGAAATGCCTTGTTGATAAGTTTTTTGTTTGTTTGTTTGTTTGTTTTTGGTTTTTTTGTTTGTTTGGGTTTATTTGTTTTGTTTTGTTTTGTTTTGAATTTTTTTTTAATTGCTATTACAGACGTTTACAGCCTGGTGCAATTCCCACCTCAGGAAAGCAGGCACACAGATTGAGAACATTGAGGAGGACTTCAGAAATGGCCTCAAACTCATGCTCCTCTTGGAAGTTATCTCAGGTTAGCTAAAATAAAGTTGTCTGTGTATTTATATCACACGAACTTAAACACTCTTAAAGGAACAAAAATTGTTAATGATTCAAAACAGTGAACACAAACTCTAAGTAGAATGAAAAGTGAGAGACGAAACATGCTGTAAAGCAAAAGGGAGGGGAAAAGAAGCTCTGCTTTTTGCTTGTCTCCAAAATTTTCCGGTTTGTGCTTGTGTTCCAGGATATCACAGTGATACCCTGATGGAAATCATTGACATCATGGTGGTGTTGGGCAAACCAAAAACATTGAGAACCTTGGCTTAGCCCCTAACACTTAAAAAGCCTTTACACATAGGTTGCAAATGAATTTTATTCTGCTTTTAGCATAAACATTTTGCTTTGATTTTAATGACTTTATTGGACATACCAACACTTTCAAGAGTGCCTAAAGCACACCTAGATCAATATTTAGTCACAAATAAAAGGTCTCATTTTTCAAAAGAGGGGAGCATGCAAGAACTTTTGTTAACTGATGCAAACTCACTATGTCCCATTTGTTATTCATTATTCAGAGGGGCAGTCTCCAAGGTAAGATCAGAATGCCCCTTAATGGGAAGGGAATATCTCAAGCAACAGATGCACAAGACAGTTTAGATTTTTGCTGGAGATTTCAATGTGGAAAGAAATTCTTCAAATGACCATTCCTCATGAAATGGAGAATCTTTTTTGAAATTATTCTTTGTGATCATTTGAAAAGATAAGTTTGTTCAAATACATCAGGCCTGAAATGAGCTCTCTGCTGTGCTGGATGAGGTTGTTAAAAGCCATTCCTCTGGGTTAGATGTGTAAGGATGCTATGGCTGATCTGCTGGATAGAATCCAGCTCCTCTTTACAGTCGGGCAGATAAGGATGATGAGCTCTGAGAACATTCTGCCTTCTTAATATTCAGCTACTGTAACAGACAGTAGCAATAAACCAGAAGTGAAGTAGGAGGAAGTACACATATCTTCCAGATGTTTAGGACAAACAAAAATTTTACTGCTATATCAGAAAGATCAAAATCAGATGCTTCAACATTTGAATTTTCTTTTCAGGGTTTGGTTCAAACCTCTTTGACATTTTTTCAGAAAAACACCTATAAAAATAATTGCTGACTTTAAGGTAGAGTTAGGGAACATCCACTCGATTTTGAATCACTTTTATGTCTGTAGCAAGGTGTGTATAAGAATAATCACATTAAATTTGTTGTTCTGCAGGGGAAAGGCTACCGAAACCAGACCGAGGGAAGATGCGCTTCCATAAAATTGCTAATGTCAACAAAGCTCTGGATTATATCGCCAGCAAGGGAGTGAAACTTGTGTCAATTGGTGCAGAAGGTACGTGACAGATCTTGACAGTGCACCTTACTTAGGTCACATTACAGAGCAGAGGGGTGGAGACCTTTGGCCACATTATGTCCTCTACATATGGGTGCCTCAAACATCCCTTCTTGCTGATTGCTGGACTGTATCTGTGAAAGGACAAGAGGTGGAAATTTTTGGACTGCTGCAGAGAGATAGGGGTATAAATGAGCACTAAGTTTAGTTTGTCTCTAAGGTTAATTTGAATTATCTGTGTTTCAGTAGGTATTCAGGTAATGATTTCTTTTTTTTTTTCTTGCAGAACGTTGTGGATTTCCCATAGATTATTAAAAGTAAGGAACTCCTTTAGGAACCAGGCTGGATTCTAGTGTGTGCTTTATACAGTCTTGCATCTTTAGGAGATATTATTCAGCCAAAACAAAGGCTGACATCTCTGCTGAGTGGCTGGAACCTACTCCCACTTTATTATGAGATTTTCTGCAGCTGTGTTTCTAAAATTCAGATGTAGAGTTAAGGGAGTGATCAAAAGAAAGTGGTAGCTGGGGAGAGATTGAACATATGAAGAAAGTGGAGTGGGATGCTATTTACTAAAGTAATTGCTTTTTTATTGTTCTGCTGTTCAGGTAGCTAAGTACCATAATGTAGTTGGCTAGCTAGATTCTGATAGATGTAGCCTGAGCTAAAGAAGACAGACTCTCACTATAAATGAACCTAACTATGCCTCCCTAGGAGATTCAGTTAATTGTTTAAAAATGACAGAGGTGTGTGTATAACTTGTTGCTCCATGAAGATATTTGCATACTGGTTTCCATAGCTACTACAATACCAAGAATGATGTGGCTAGCATGATATCCAACTATTTTTGATTCCATAGCCTCAATGATGTGCTTTCTGTGCTTTTTTTCTCCCACTCTAACAAGTCCTTAGAGCAAAATTTTGGTTGTAACCACATTATGATGATAGTCACTCCTATATTGTACTGACATTTTTAGGCCTTTTTTAGATTGATTTATGAGCCTCTTCTTCCTGTTTCCAGATTCCTACAGGCTTATATGTATCCTTATTCTGGTTTCCAAGCCTTGATCCCAGGGAGCTTACTGTAAATGTGGATGGAAGAGGAGATTCATTATGTGGGATAAGGGTAGCTGTAGAAATAATGGAGAGATCTGTCAGCATTCATTGGTTTTACTATGGTTTGACCTAGCCCACTTGGTTCCTCAAGTATTGTTCACCAAATGTGTTCAGTTTGTAGACCTAGAACTCAAAAATCCCAAGGAATGTGCTTCATGGGCAGAGAGTTTGTTTGAATTAACTCTTCATTTATTTGAGACTGAAGTAGGTGGGTCACCTGAGTCCAAATTCATACCATCTGTCTTTAGGCGCATAAAAGAGACGTTTTTGGGGAATATATTATCAGTGGGGAGAAATGGGCAATTCCCACAGGCACTTCAGATCTCAGAAGAGCTCTACTGCATTTCAGAGGTGCCTGGCTCCCTCCATCACTTGTACAGACTGCTGGGGCAACTGTGCCCTTTGCTTGGTTAAATGAAATGGGATGGAAAAATATGTTTCTACCTTAAACCTCTGCAGTAAGGCTCTTCTGAGAGTGACATGGCATTAAATGGACAGCAGAGGGTACTGAAGAGACAATTTATGTGTGGAAATGAAAATTAATAATACAGATGTCTGTTTGATAGCTGGTGAAGGAATGCTGAGATTACAGAGCATGGAGCAAATGAAAGGTAGTTTCTGTCATGTCAGGCAGGAGACTCTGAGGCTTCCTAACCAAAACCAGAGTGTAGCACAAGGAGTATCTTGTGGGACAGAGTGGTTGTTGTTGCTGATGACTGTTTGCACAAGGCTGGAGCATTTAAACCAAGATACATCAGCTCATACCTGCTCCTGAAAGGAGCAAGCCAGCCCTCTGCACTCCCACCTCCCTTGTTTTGCTCTGTTTATTGCTGGTCACTGCTGCCAGGGTACTCAGGCTGGGGAACAGCACTTGAGCCCTTTCTGAAGGCAAAGCATCTGGGATAGCTCACATCAGACATGGAAAACATTTAAACTAACCCTGCTGTTCTCCTTAGCAGCAACTGGCATGGGTTCAAATGCTCTGTGATTCAGGTGCTCCATGATAATTCCCCTTTAGGAAGGTGGCAGGAAAAAGGGCAGTAACCTCTTCCAGATTTTCAGGCACTTGCTGCAAGTTGACTGTCCATTCATCCAGTGTTTATTCTTGCATGTAGCAGCAGGCCATACCTAGTAACCCAAGAAGTTAAGGTGATGGTTTTAGCTATTATTCCCTGTTTCTGGAATTCTCAATCTGTAAAACTGATGTATTGAATGCAAAACCAAATTAATTAGCATTATAAAACCCCTAAATTCTTAGATGGAAACACGGGAGAAAAATTCCCAGCCATGTGATAGCCTAGGAGCAGAGAGGAACCTGTCATGGTGAGACATGAGGCTGTGTCAAGTGTGGCCTGATGCCCACATTAGATAATATCCATGTGGGCAGGAGCAGATAGATTCACGTGCCTTCCCTCCCACTCTGACAGGGTGAGCACAAAGCCAGCCCTGGCACAGACGTCCTCAGTGCCCTGTTAAGTTTACTGCATCCCCTCTCTAAATTTGCTACCTAAAGCACAGCGTTGTGCTGATGCAGCAAAGCAGTATCACATCTGACTGGGTCTGGTTTCACACTGTGGGACCTCTGGCACCGGTGGGTGTTTAAAGAGTCCCTGTGCCCCCTGGAACTGCATTCCTGTTCCCACACTTCACAGCCCTGCCCTCTCACTTGGGCTGACAACTGTTGCTCTAGCTCTGCTGGAGACTGGATCAGCAATCTGATCTGTTTTTAAAACACACTTCACTTCTTTTTTTTTCCTTTTGTTACATTTTTCAGCATTGTTGACCAGGCAGTCATTATAGTAGGTTGAAGTGAATGCCAGAAAGGAGAAGAGCACAGTCTCCTTAAGTTTGTTTCCTTATCAAAATCTACAATCCCTTAACTCTCTGCCCCTGTGGGTGAGCATGGGGCTCGTGGGCTTGCTATCACCCATCTGTCTGGGCATTCTCTGAGTTACATGGATGCTTGGAATACTTTTTATTTTCCAAAGCATGAAAGTTTTGTATCTAAATCTGCCGAGGATCATGTTCCCTTATCTGATATACTGAGTGGTGAAGAGCATGTAGGCCCAAGGGGAAAAACTGGCATTTAAAATGGGACCTCAAAACGGTGATTCCTGTGGGGCATCAGTACAAAAACAAAATCAGTATTTTTAAGGGTCCAGGGATATTCTTTGAAGTCACCATTATTGTTCTGAGCCTGACTTCTCTGGGCTGTCTTTGGAGTGGAGAGAGCTCATCACTTTTAATTGTGATGCTGAGCAGGAGCCAAATTTATCTTCTCTGTAGATAAATTGTCAATCTCTCCACTGGTCATGAAATGAGACTACAGGGTCAAGAAGCTAAAATTAAAAACTGTGAAAGTAGTCCTTATGAACCATTCATAGTCCAGGATTTAAAAGTTTTCTCTTAAGTTTTAAAAAAGTGCAGTAACTCTATTTGGAAGGTACTTGCATCCTGAATGAAATCACCTAGATATGGAGAACCCCAAAAGACAAGTATCCTGTTAATTGGAAGTACTTCTGTACTGCTTTTCTGGGAAATGGGAAAAGTGTTAAAGACCAAATGATCAGTGAATCTGCTACAAGGAGGTTAGAATGAAAAAAATAAATTAATACATAAAACCAAAGCAGAATAAAAAAAAAAAACAGGACCAAAATGTTTGAGAAGTTGCTTTGCTTTACTTTTTCCCTAGACAGTTTTTATTGTTTCTGCTCAATTTTCTCTTCTCTTCTTTTCTGCCCTCATCCCCAGAAAGCTGTAGCTTTGTGTATGTGAGGGGTAGGAGCTATATTCCAGCCAGAGCAAACAGACTGTGTGAAAAAATTAATGAAGTCTTCTATTGACCTGTAGAAAAAAATTATAGAAGTGAATCAATGTGTTTTTGTCACTGATACTTTTCAATATTTTAGCAAATATTTTTTCCTTGTCTTATATAGGAGTCTTTTTTTGTTGTTTTATGCTAGCAGTTTTGTGAGAAACCAAAACTGCTAGCATAAAAATCACTTGAAAATCCTCCTGAGGCACAACACAGAAAATTCCCTCTCTTGCTCTTTCATTCTGTATGTGTGTGCATACAGATATTTAAATCAAAACAACGATGAAATGATTATGCAAATCTATTAATTGATTGCCTGGGAATCAGCAATGCCTCCTGAGTATTTAAATACATTTGTTTTACATTTGAAGAAATTTGTCTTTACTGTATGTACATATCAGACAGCTGATCAAAATAGTGAAGTGACTTGACTTCTCTCAGGAGGAGGGAAGAAAGAAGTAGCTACATGCTCTAATTGCCATTTGTTTTGTGGGTTTTTTTTTTTTGTTTTTTTTTTTTTTTTTCTGGAAGGGTTTTGTTTTGAGGTTTGAGGTCTTTCAGGGCCAATAAGGCAGGCAGAGTGGTGTAAGAAATCTGGAAAAATAGTGTAGGATCCAAAGGGGAAAGTGAGAAATTAGCTAAACTTCAATTATCATACTAGCAAAATAAGTATAGGATAGTGATGGGTTACATATTTTCTATCACATTTGTTAATTCCATAGGTTCAAATGACAGCTTGTGTCACGTCCTACTGCAATTTAACATGTATCTCTTGTCTCAGAGACAGCAGCTGCTCTTGTTCTGTAGAAGTTGCCCCTGGATTCAGGCAATTTTAAATAGCTAAGTGGCTGCATTTTCTGTTGGCACTTCTATTGGCATTTGATGTCAAATTGAGGAAATTCCTCCTGCTGCAAGTTCCTCCTGCTCCTTGCCCAGAACACCAGTGGGCCCCCAGGCAGACACAGCTGCTTCACTTTTTGAGAAAGGCTGGAGGTGACTTTCAAGTAGGGGAGCAGCTGGTGCCTTCCCTGCTCCACCGCTCCTTCCATGTGAGGTGACTGGAAAGTCAGTCTGCAGTCCCATCTCCTCCCTTCCCAACACCGCACCCTCCTTATAGTCTCACTATGTTTTTCTGAGTCTCTTGACTCACTTTTGAGAATGATTTAATGTAACCACCACACTGAAATGATCTGGCAGTGCGTTTTGGTGTTGAGACATTTCAGTGGTATCACTTAGTTACACCGTGGGAGCATTGGATTCTTACCTGGCTTGTGGCAGAGATTCCCACATTCCCTGTGTTATGGGTAGTCTCAAGCAGTCTTGGAACAAATTGAAAGCCCAGAGGTAAAAATCCCCATTTATATTAAAGATACTTAAATGTGTGTATGCCTCAGAGCTGTGAGCGTTACAGCCTCGTGGCCATGGTTCTGAGCAGCTTGGCAGGAAGCTGTGCAGCTCAGTGTCAGGAGGTGCTGTGTCTCTTGAGCTCCTCTTCGTGTCTTGCCTGGGCTGGCACTAGATGTAAATTCTCAAACATAAATTAACAGTACAGGGGAAATTCTGAGTACCATTTTGTTAAAAATCAATACTGTTAATGTCTGTAGTTTCTTAAAAATTGAAGTAAGACCCCAATTTTTTTTTTTGTTTTGTTGTATTTGTAAACTGTTAACACTGATACTGTTCAAACCTTCAATATTTCCCTTCATGTTCTGTCCAAAACATCGTCCTAAAAGGTAAAGCTTTGAAACTGTAACAACTACCCTGAGAGAAGCCTTTCAGCATGGAAGGACTGAAGTGACCTTAACCTCAGTAACCTTCAGTCCTACTGACAGAGTAACACAAGCATGACCTTGTTGAAAAAGGAACCAGGTGAATACTGTGTGAATAAAAAATTATAGTAAAAGTATAATTCCTTTATTAGTTACAGTGTATTATTTATAGAAATGTGTGATTAAATAAGATGAAATTGGAAAAAACCTTTTAAATACTACTACTATATCTATTTTTCACCTTAGAAATCGTGGATGGCAATGTGAAAATGACACTGGGTATGATCTGGACTATCATCCTTCGTTTTGCTATTCAGGATATTTCAGTGGAAGGTAAGAGTAATACAATTATGTTAAATAATTAAGAAATGTATTTAAAGACATTTTTAAATTAATTGTGTGTAAGTGAGAGGAGTGTTTTAAAAATAATTTTTTTCACAGAAAATGATTCTGTAAGTTCTCTACCTGGTGACAAAATGAATTTCTGGAGGGAAAATTGTTTACTCTCCTTATCTTGACAGAGACCTTGAGCCAGCTTTCTAAGTGCAGAAGTACTGGTCATGTTTCCCAGCTACAGAGACAGAAACATGACTATGTTTCTGAGCTGTACCCTTTGTGTTTTGTTCTATTTCCAACATACATTTTCATTCCTGTCCATTTGTCACATTCTTTGCAAATAAATATGATCTGATTATATGCCTCTTCTTTCTAGCTATCTTTTTTTTCCCCTCACTGTTTCAGAATTTTTTTCTTAACTTCCACTTGGTAGCTGGCTCCAAAAAACATGTTGTTACAATACTCTTTAAATCAAGTCTGTGCTTTGAAAGTCTAGAATTCTAGAAACTAATCTCAATTTTCAGCAAAAGTAGAATTGTTTCAAGCTCTGTTGTCCTGCCCTCATAATTGGGATATTAAATGTGGACCTAATGGTTTATTTAATAATTTCTGATCTTTACTTATGCACTCAGATGCCCATAGGGTTCAGATAATAAATGTATTTTTTGGGCACTTAAACCTCCCCATAAGCTAATGAACTGAGACTACGAGCATATTTCATGTAGGCACCAAGACAATCTTCTATGTCTATTTGCATTATATTTTTATTGGGTATTTTTCACCAGTGTACAGTCTGCTGTCCAAACAATATAATTCCTTCAATTTCTGACATCCCAGATAATTCTGTACAGGCTGCGACTAATCTTAACTGACCTCTATATTTTAATGAAATTCCAGTAGTACATTTATATGAACAACTTTTAGGATTAAATGTTGGTTTATGCCATTCAGGTGGCCAACCACATTTAAGATGACAAGAAATTAATTACTTGAGCACTTTTAAAATTTTTTCCTTTTTTTTACTTCCTTGTGTCTTCTACAGAGACCTCTGCCAAAGAAGGGCTGCTGCTGTGGTGTCAAAGGAAAACTGCTCCTTACAGAAATGTGAACATTCAGAACTTCCATCTTAGGTAATCTTCCGTTTTTTCAAGAGATAGAAGCAATCTCAAAAATGTTATGTCAAATTTTCCCCACAGTTGTGTAGGTATATATATTTGATCAGAGAATTTTACTCTCCACTAGACCTTTTTCAAATTCTTCTCCTCTGTCTTCAGAGTGTTATTTTGGTGAGCCTTTAGCATTATTTACTATGACTTCCAGAGTTACTATTTAAAAGAAAAAGATCCTGCTACACACAGAATTACTATATTACATCTTTAGAGGTCCTTTGTATTATGTAGTAATTCCTGAGGACTGTAGCATAGTGGCAAATGACTGCTTTCAAATGAGAGTCACAGAGAAGTTCTTTTGGCAAAAAGATCAGTGTGTTGAGCATGTGAATATCTCATTGTTATGATGAATCAGTCTTTATTGTTTTGCAATGTACATTACTATAAGGAGCATAAAATGCACTCAGTACATACACAACAGCAGCACTGTAAACACATTTGTTTACAGAATCAGGCTCACAACCTAAGTTGGAAAATTTAGTGAAAGCTCCTTGTATTTCTGTGTTTTCATTAAGAGCTAGAATGGGAATTCCACAGTCTGCCTGGTTTGGGGATTTCACTGGGTTAGTTCCTGAATCTGTGCCACTGGCCTACCTCATTCAAGTACATGACTTACCATGTGCACTGTTTAACCAGGTGATCTTCCCTTCCCTGAGAACCTTCTAGTATTTAAAACAAGAGCTCTCTATTAGTGTTTTAAATTAATTCTTAATGTGTAGTACCTAAAGCACATTTAGTGACAGAGAAGATGCAGTTCATACATATGTTCCAAGATAAGAAAAATCTGTCTGATGTACAGTCCCTGTACTGCCTTTCAGAGATCTGAAATTTGTTATGTGTTACTTTCCTAGAATATGCAAAGATATATTAAATATAACTTTTTATGGATTGATGGTTTACTGTAAGTTACAGTGTCAGAATCTTAGTGTAGTTATGTACATACACTGGTGTGATACATGATATGGGGAAAACATCTTGAATGGAAGTATCTTGATTTGTGCTTTGGGTGGATTGGCTCTTACAGTACTACTTTGCAGTGGGCTATCCACATAATTTTATTTTGCACCTTTTGGAAAAAGAAAAATAAATTTTTTGGTGCTAGGTTTGATCTGGTTTTACATCCTAGATGATTTTATGTTATACAATGTAGGTATATTCTGCTTGATTTTGTTACTTTTTTTTTGTTTTGGAGATGGTTCTATTATTTGAAGGACCTACCCAGACATCTCAATAGTAGGGATTTTAACAGTGTTAACATGCTTAAACTCACACAATTACTGCACAGGACAAGACCTCAAACCCTCAGTCCCTGTGATTTCTTAAAGTCTTTACATAAGTATCTTTCAGAATAATTGCTCTCATAATCGTTCCAAAAATATGTTATTTGTAACTCCATTCATTTCCTGTTCTTGCCACAAAAGGTAGCAGGTCTGAAGTCAGGCTGAAGTGTAAGAACTCAGATCAAAGCTGTCATATGTGTGAAGTGTTTTAAATAAACTCAGCTGATTGATGGTTTCTTACTTCTCTAAGCACATGGTTGTGCCAGTAAAATTCTTAGAAATAACAAAGGAAAAGCCAATTGTTTCAACAAATTGAAGTAATTGCAGGTTTGCTCTCCTTTTACTTTTTCACAAATACGCTGTGAGCGTAATGGGAGATGATGCACTTTCATGGATGAATGTGTACTTGAGATGTCCTAGAACACTGCATGAATTAAGCAATTGAAATCAGGGACTGTTGCACAAAATGTACATTGCCTAGAAAGTATATGAAGTCTACATGGAGTTTATGGAGTGTACCTTAACAGTGTATGGACTGTAGAGTAAGATATGTACTATAGATAAAGGAGTACAGTAACAGAGCAGCTCAGAGAGAGTTCACAGGATGTAAGTTCAGGATTTGACAGAATTCCTGCTTTAATTTAAGCCTTGAGCAAGGATCATACTGTAAAATGCCATTACTTTATTAACTAATTTTTTTTCCATTTTATTTTTTGCTGTAAAGCTGGAAAGATGGCCTTGGATTATGTGCACTTATCCACAGACACCGACCTGATCTTATTGACTACTCCAAGCTAAATAAGGTCATCAGCCTGGGTGGTACAGCATGCTGTCCTGCAGTGATTTGGCTGGCTTCTGGTTTGCTTAACATGTTTTCTAAAAGACAGGCTGAGGAGTGCATACTAATTCTGATTGACTTTCTAAAGTCCTTCCCAAAAAAACCTCAATGACACAAGGGAGAGAACCTCCTGACTCTCCTGTGTCCTTTCCTTCCCATTACTGTCCTTTACTTCAACATTTAATTGCAAATAATCTGGTTCTCAGATTCTAGCAGTTAATGAAGTCTTTACACTGCTCAATATGGATGTTAAATCAAATACATTGGAACTATCCATTTACCACTGATAGTATTGTCCATCCTGTTTTTATCTGGTGTAAATGACTGGAGATTGCAGACCAGTAAACAATGATGCGACAATTAATCCTAAAATTCCTTAGAAAAAACATTGCTCTTGCTAATTAAGAATACACAGTAAATTACTAGTCTTACATATTCAGAAAGTATTCACTGAATCTCAGATCTACTCTTCTACCTGTACTTCCAGACAAGTGGAAGCAAAACCGATAACCTAACCTCCTTAGGTAGTAGTACCTCATGGGGACTAAAAACTATTTTATTACAGTCTGCTACTTATGGCAAAATGCATGTTTTCTAAAAGATACTTGGATTTGAGAGGGAGAAATGACGAATGAGCAGTAATGTCAGAATTTCTTGGTATCATTACTGAAGGAAAAATAATCTAGAAAGAAGTAGAATGTTGTTGTTTCACATTAGCTGTCAATACATACACACTGTTTTCTCCTCTCTGGAATGAATGTAAACACCAGTCTCAAGTCTCATGTAAACACCACTGCAACAGAAACCTTAATCATGGTTTTAATCTGTTGTGTGCAACTTTGCTTTGATGAGAGAGAGTGGTAAAACATCAACTGTATTTTTCCACACCATGCCCTTTCCTTGCAAATTGGTTTACTAGTGGAATCAACTGTTACTATAAAGTCCATGGTGAAGAATAGGTAAATGAATGAACTGAAACTACTTTAAAACTTAGTGTGCTTTACATGTTTATGCGTTCAATTTATGCCAGAGTCTCTAAATGTGCAGTGATGAAAATTAATTGAACTCTTAGCACTGAACATATAAGATTTTAATTTAGGCAGCTGTTTAAGATAACTTCAGATCTGAACCAATGGACAAAATATTGGCCATCAATACCAGCTTGTTCTCCAATTCTATATGCAACCTTTCCTACAGATAAACAGAGTAATGGAATGACTGAGCTACCTGTCTCTGTGCACATGTGCTTATTATGCATGGCATGAACAGAAGTGAGTTTGATTGAATCTGTGCTTTGAAAAGTGGTACGTGGTGCTGAAGAACATCACAGTTAACCATCCCATAGATGTGTGCTGAGAAAAGGGAACAGAACATAAGCAGGTCTGCTTCAATGCTACTATTTTCCTCTTAGCGGTTTCCAAAATAAGAACAGGTCAGGTTTCAAACTGAGGCTGAGCTGTTGCACATGAAGCACATGCAGAAAAAATCCCCCTAAAATAGATGTTGCTTTTCTGGCCTGGCTGTGTTTGATTGACTCTTCATTTTGGTTACATTAACAGCTGTCTTGGTGTCTTGTTTCTTACCGCCTGCATGCTGTCCTTTCTTTTTCTCACCAATATGTTTTGTGTGAACCTCTAGCTGGAAAGATGGCCTTGCTTTCAACGCCCTTATCCATAGACACAGACCTGATCTCCTTGACTATGCCAAGTTAGATGAGGTATTTCTTTAGCTGTAACAGAGATTTTTGGTTACTGTGGCTTGTAGTTCTGTTTAAAAGGATGGGTGATGGAAATCTCCAATTATTCAGAAGCTGCTATGATTTTAAAGCAATCCTTTATCAGTGCAGCTCTTTCCTCATGCACTTAGTACCAAGCACACAAATAGGAGGTGCTCATCACTCATTCATAGGCAAAGTGCTTTAACCTAGTCAATAGGTCTCACTTAGATTTACTGTCTTTTTGACTTTTCTTTTACAAAATCTGTGCTCTCTATCTGAACTGTCCTCACTGCTTCCTTTCTCCTTCCTTCAAAAACCAAAATGTCAAAACCAGAGGAAGTGCTTGAATTTCCACAGCCCTAAAATTCTGTTTTTAGAGGCATTACAGATTTTTATTTCCAAGCCCAAACTGGCAAGTTTCACTCCTTCTGGAGAACAATTCTGCCTGTGCTTGCTTCTTCTCATGCATGCACCTAACCAGCAGAGAACTCAGTCGAAGTCATATCCCTTTGATGTACTGTATAGTGGATATAAAACACGCAGGGCTAACTCTGTGTTGAACAGTCTCATTTAGCCTGCTGGTCCAGTGGCATTTAGTGTCTGTTTTGCCGCTGTACTTCATTCAGAATTAGCTCAGAACTGAGTGTATACTGTTACCTGTGTTCACCTCCACAATGCATTTCCAGCAGAGTTCTAGCTGTAGAGAACAGCTTATAAGTTTTCTTTTGAAAACATAGCAGCAGATGGACCAAAAGTTCATATACCAAGACTCTGTTTTTTGAAGAACAATAGTTGTGACTCCAGTTTATAGTTTGGAAAAACAGAAGCTAAGTTTTAGTCTAGTCTACTCTAGTCTTGCTTCAAAGAAAAACTTCTATCTTTGACTCATTGTATGTTTTTCTTTAATGCAGGATGACCCCATAGGGAATATCAACCTTGCCATGGAAATTGCTGAAAAGCATTTGGATATCCCAAAGATGCTGGATGCAGAAGGTGAGACTTATACCTTACTGAAGTTTGTGTTGCTCGTAATCAGAACACAGTAAAATCTCTTAAATTTTTTTTTTCCTAACAGATTTTCAGTATTCCTTCCATATAAATCATAATGTAGCAACCTGCTTCATTTTCAAAAAATATTTTCATTCCTTTCTGGCATTCATTGGATAATTTCACTCACTTTTTGCTTTATTATTTCTTGTTTGGTAATGTTTGCATTTATTATAGTGCTTTGGACCCTAACCTCAGCACATGGCCCAACTGTGTTGAGGTAAAATGCAGGATCAAAAGCTAATCCTTGCTATTAATAATTCAGATTTAATAAAGAGAAATATAACTGTTAGCAACTTAAAGCATATTCAGTTTTTAAAATGTTTAAGCAAGGGGCCAAAATATAAATAGTAGAAGTACGTTCAAAACTTTCAAAATATACTAACACATGCCTCACCTCCTATGAAAGAGAGCTAGGTTGAGGGACGCATTTTTTTTGTTTGTTTTAGTTGTAAACTTTTTGCAGTGATACTTTTAACAAATAATTAATGTGTCTCAAATTATCTTGAGAATTTCCTGAATTTCTTCAAGATAATCAAACTTTTGTACCCTCGGCAAAACATGGTGCCAGACTACTGGAATTTGCCTACATTAGTTAAAAGCATTCTTCCCCAAGAATGGAGACTCAGCTCTGGTGGCTTCTCAGTAGAGCAGTGATAAGATGGGAATCATCCAGAGCTGACTCAAACTGACTATGCCTGTTCCTCTTGAAGTCTTCATTTGGAAAGTTAGATGGGATGATTTGGGAAATCCAGGCTGTAATCTTTTCATTGAAGAGTTGTTTCACTTTCATACTTTAAAACAAATTGTCTTCATCTTTTGAATCAACAACACCACTTAATTATTTTGCTCTGAAATACTGTGCAAGGAATAAACAGAGAAGTGCTGTCGCCTTGTCATTGAGCAGCTTTCTACATTTTTCCTCTTCATAATATAAGAAACCTTTTATTTTCCTCACCAAATTTTCTGCACATTCTATTCCTTATCTTACTATTCTCCTCTTGGCAGGGGAGGAGGTAATGAAAATGTATTCTTTCTAATACCCTTTAAGTATTCATGGTCACTTTTTGCCATCTTTATTTCCACTGAAATATCTCCATGGAAACTTTGCAAAATTTTGTTCACAGCTACATAAAGTAGATGCAAAATTAGTAAATATATTGATCCTGAACTTAGAAATCTCACTGTTAACATTAAAAATTTTCGCTCATTCCAGGATCTTTTCAAGTCTGTATCTTCCCACTCCTTTCACTGACAGGAATCCATGCAGGTTGCACTAGAATCACTCATTACTCAGCCATAACTGCTGTAAAAACACCTTTTCCTGCCTTTCTCTGTTGAGTATTGAAAAGGCCCATTTTTACCCATGGATGCATACCTTGATTGCATCCACTTTATATTTTCACTCTCCTGCCATTGTAGGGACAAAGCTATTAGCCAGTCAAGCCAAACCCTCCTGCGATTTATGCTATTAACTGAAAAGATGGGCTGGCACAGGGATTGCAGAGCTGCTACTGTCCAACTTTTCTTAGCACAAAATGTATTTCTGGACTGCAGGAGTTGTACAGGTTCCCAGTATATGCCAGTACCCTGTCAGCCACAGGGACCCTGTGCTGATACACACTGAGTGCAGTTCTGGTTTGTGACTGTCAGTGGCTGTGTTTAGCTCTGCAGTAATTGCAGTGATTCAGATGAAGTTGCTTTGGAGTGGCAGTGAAGCTGAACCCAGCAGATCTGCCAGCCATGCCATCTGCTTGGAAGTTTCCACAAACCAGAAGGTAGCAATACCCTTCTGTATAGTCTCAGCCTTCAGATGTTTTGCCATTTCAGGCAGAGTTGTATCTTTTGTGTTTGCTGATTCCTAAAGCTTAGATGGCTTTGCACTCATATCAGTAAACAGATGCAACCTGAATAATTGTGTATTTATTTGGAATCCTTACAGCACTGAGGTGGCACCATTAGCATAATCAGATGAAAGTACCTTGTGAAAATTTCTGAGCAGTTAACCCTCTTCTCTCCACACAGATGTAGTAAACACTGCCAGACCTGATGAAAGAGCCATTATGACTTATGTTTCCTGTTACTACCATGCATTTGCTGGTGCTCAGAAGGTGAGATTGTAGATGGATCAGATCTCATCCTTCACCTTCTGTCTTGTTTTTTTTCAGCAATTTTTTATGTTCTGGTCTTTTCCTCACTAGTTACTAGAACAGCATCTTAGAGTTGAGCTCATTTCCTGTTGCCTCTTTTCTCTGTGAGCTGCTGTTTTGGTAGAGCCAGTAGTGGTCTATCCATTTGTTCCATAGAAACAAACCTTCCTGTCTCATCTTTCTGCATATTTACTAATAATATCCAGTAGGTTTTTGACAGCTAGTTACTGAATGGGAGAGGATGATGTTCCCTTTAAATGAATTTGTGTGCATTCATTTGAAGCTCCATTAAAAATGTAAGATGAAAATAAGCTCAGAGTGAAAAAACAATAGTAGAATTCCATCTTTGTTCTCTCTGCTGGATATTATTTCTGCTACAGGTGTCAAAATCATCATAACATGCTCAGAAAATAAACCCTTCTCTTATGCTTTCAGGATTGTTTTTAAAGTGTTAAATGCTTAATGGTAAGTACAAACAGCAACATCAAATGGTGCTATTAAGCAAAACAGAAACATGTATAGACATCTCAGATGAGCTCTGGAATCACTTCCTAAAGAAAAGAAGGACAATTCTAAAAAGTAAGGCGGTTCAGAGTTGGGCATACTTTAGGTATTGGTAATATGAAAAATACTGATGCAAAAAATGCTAACGTGCAACTTCCAGAGAACATCTCCCCAGACTGAAATGTAGTCTGCCTTTCCTGGGTCTTAGTCAAAACCCCCACAATTTAAGTCACCAGACATATGTGTGCCAGTTCTTAAGCAGACAGTCCTGGTAAAATTAGGGCCGCTCCCCCTATGACAATACTGCTGGATTGAGCTTAATGAAAAAAAATCCTCCTCTTTGTATGAGTTTACACTGAATTCTTAGTGTACTTTTTATTCCGTCAGCACCCCTCAATCTAACAGTAAATTTTTTACAGCTTGGTAGAATTTCTCAGATACAGAGCTAAGGACAAGAAAAGAGTAAGAAGGACATGAAGCGGCACATTTATTTCTTCATCCTATTTTCTACTCCTCGATTCCTTTTTTTCTTGTTTTATTTTAATTTCTCCCCCCTCTTGTAGATATTGTGAACACTCCCAAACCTGATGAGAGAGCTATCATGACATACGTGTCCTGCTTCTACCATGCTTTTGCTGGAGCAGAGCAGGTATTAATCAACTGTCTCTTCAGGTTGCTGTGTTTTTGACTGGTTGTTTAACATTTCCACAAGTTTATTAAAAAAAAAAAAATACTCAACTAATTTAGTACTACGTGGTTTTAATTAACATTTGCAAGTATTACTTGAGCACTAATATTTGTTTTTAACCAACTCTCAAACCTGTTTTAGTTAAATGTTGTGTAACAAGTTAACTTCTTTAATTCAAGTAGACATTGTTTCTAATTTTGGGTCTTTATTTGGCAATTTTAAGGACTGTTTCAGAAAAAAACTGATTTGAAAATATTGTTAAGTGGAGTTGTTGGTTTGTGATACAACATCTTATTTGTTGACTACATAACAGAATGTTTGACTTTTGGAGCCTGAGATTTATGCATGCTGAGTAGTAATTTAGGGCTAAATTTTCAAAGACGCCTAAAGAGACAGAAGGGCACAGAAGACATCCAACATAGTTTTTGTGCCTGGTTCCCACTGAAGCCAACAGAATTATTTGTGGATGAAAGTACTAGTATAAAAGGCACGAACATCAGCAGCAGACCTGTCATTGATGGGATATTCATTTATAAATGTGGCATTTCCCACTCTTTCATACATTTCTAGCCTACAAATGGACATAATCCAATTTACGTTACAAAAAAAGCAACAAACCTTTAAAGTAGCTGTTATTTTCCCTTCATCCTCAGGACTTAATTTCCCTTCCTGTCTGCTTGGTTGCCTATACCTTATCACAGCACAGCTATGCTGTTGCATTCTCTCATTCCTCAGTAGGAAGGTTTTGCTATTCAGGCAAAAGGGGAATTCCAAATACTCTGTAACACAGGAGTCTACATGGATATTTATTTGATTAGATATATTCCGGAGTCATATTTGTATCAAAGTACTGCTCTGTGTTATCAAACTAGTAAATTTTAAATATGGCAGAACTACACAGAGCCTTCACATATAAATTTGTTAGGAGGCATGAAAAGATTTGCTGTCAGTGGTTGAGCTGCACTTATTCTCAAGGGCTGTTCATGTGATATGCAGATGTAGAGTGGTCTGAGACTTCTGCATCACATATGGTGTCTATCCAGTGTAGCTAACAAATCTAATACTTTTCGGATATGACTTAAAAAATAACCTAATAGGATATATTGAAGAATGGTCTAAGTTGTCGTTAAAAAGAAAAGATTTATTAGACAACTATATAATAAGGCTTCATTATACAACAAGTGGATCTCTGTGCTGATCCGAGCGTCATTCAGGCCATTGGAATCTATGGCTGCAGAAGGAGGGAAAACCTAGGAGCATAACTCACCAACTATAAAAAATGCAATCTTTTATTTGCAGCAGCCACATTCTCTCTCTTTCTCCAAGCCTATACCTTTCTCAGAATGTGTTTATGAATATGTCCTCTTTATTTGCTGTGTGTTATAGGCTGAGACTGCAGCTAACCGGATCTGTAAGGTGCTTGCTGTGAATCAGGAAAATGAGAGGTTGATGGAAGAGTATGAGAGACTAGCAAGTGAGGTAAGGATGCTTTATCTGTAATGTGGTGACGACAATGTTCATGAAATATTGCAAGCTGAAAGAGTTGTGCACTCTCTTCAAGACAGAAAAGCAGAGACACTGTAAGGGTAAATCTCTCAGTGCAGTTTCCTGCCAAGATCTGCCAGGGGCTCAAGCCATTCAGGGCACCCAGAGGGTTCTGACACTCAGTGATGATTTTTATATGATCTGAGGCTGGTTTCTGTCCCAATCCCATAACTATGAGTACCTGAAACACCAAGACCAATAGTTTTGAAAGTGGCAGTTGATATTGGGTAACTCAGATTTTGAGTAATTAGAGACACCTTAGATGTGTGTCAATATTTCTGAAAATCAGGTTATTTCTAGAAATATCTGGGCAAATTTGTTATTTGTGTAAAACAATACAATATAAAAGTATTGTTTAGCTCTGAATGCCTTGTGCTTACTCACCATTAATGCATCAGTACCAACTGAAGTTTATAATAATAAAATGGCACAAACTTAATTAAGATTTGTATGTTCAATATAATATTTTTTTTGGGTTGCTTTTCCATTGCCTTTATTTGACCTATTTTTGTTGGTTTGAAAGCTTTTGGAATGGATTCGCCGGACAATTCCTTGGCTGGAAAACAGGACCCCAGAAAAAACAATGCAGGCTATGCAGAAGAAATTAGAGGACTTCCGGGACTATCGCCGCAAGCACAAACCTCCCAAAGTCCAGGAGAAATGTCAGCTGGAGATCAATTTCAACACCCTGCAAACAAAACTGAGAATCAGCAATCGGCCAGCTTTCATGCCATCAGAGGGGAAAATGGTTTCAGTAAGTAAAGGAGGCTTTAATATTCTGTTTGTTTTATCAATGATCTCCCAAAAATGCCAATGTGAAGGATTGAAAAGCCATTCTAAGTCATTCTCAGAAACATCAGTTTGTTGTACCAAACTCCTTTTACACGTTCCCTTTTGTTCCAGAATCTTGCTTTCTAATAAACATACTCCTGCCTCTTTGAAGGCTTTCCCAAAAGCAAATTATCTGGATATGCAAGATGATATAGAGCTTCCTTTGGGAGTGTTATCAATCCTCATGTATCATTGAGCCAATGACTGCTTATTTAAGCAAAACTCAGTGGTTGCACTGACATTTTAGTCATCCAACAAGCAGACATTGCTTAATACACGTTTCTACATTTTTTTTGTTCTGCTTTTTCTCTTATGAATATGAAGATAAGAATAGTCCATACCAAGAGTTCTCATCTGCTGATAAGTACTGTGACTTGACTGTGGGTCAAAACATTTCCTGTGGAATATAGCAAACCTGTTTCTGTACTCTATTCTATCATTGTGATTTGTTTTTCATAAACAAAACAAAAAAAATCTCTATCTGGAAAGGGTTATTGTCCACTCCCCATATGCAGAAAATAAGGGCCCTGTTACTTCAGCTTCCCACTCATGTCTTTGAGTTTGCAAGGAAGCTCACAAAACTTTGTGTACCACAGAAAGTGAAATGAGTTTGTGTTCCAGGTAAAACATGCACCAAATCCTCTTGATACTAATTACCTAGCTATTGTCAACTTGTGAAAGCAAAGGCCTTTCATTTTGATAACAAATAGATATATTATAAAAGAACACACACACATTGTAAAATGGGAGGATTTTGGGCCTGTAGCCGTGCTTGGAAACAATTTCTATAGGGGGTGTCCTTTCACAAACCCAGCTGAACACAATGCACTATGAGGAGCAGGTGTCTGCACTAAACAACGCCCTGACAACGTTTTGTGTGATTCTGTGATTTTACAAAATCTGAACATAAAAACTTCTCTTTTTGAAGCCAAATTGTGAATGAATCAAAAATCTGTAACCTTAGATAAAAAGAGATTATAATTTCATCCATCTCTCCCATGTATTCCCTTCACAGGATATTGCCGGCGCTTGGCAGAGACTTGAACAAGCTGAGAAAGGCTATGAAGAGTGGCTGCTGAATGAAATACGACGACTGGAAAGACTTGAACACTTGGCTGAGAAATTTAGGCAGAAGGCTTCCACTCATGAACAGTGGGCATATGGTGAGGAGAGATGGCTTTTAACATTTTTAGTATTTTAATGTTTGAAGTTGAGCTGTCGGTGCTGAGTATTTCCCAGCTACAAACTCACTCATAAGTAGTTTGGACAATTTCAGACAGTGTAAAATAATAACAGATAAAATGTCAGGTTTTGTTGACTATAGTCACGGTCCTAACTTGTTGGCATGTTGCTAATGAGATGTAACTGTAAAAATCATACTTGAGACAGTAAGTCAAACTTAATGGGAATACTCTGCATTTGAATAGAGGCCATTACTGCTAATGTATTCCCCAGCAATCCAACCAGGAATGCAGTCATACCACTGGCTGAGTGTGAAATTCTTAACAGAATTATTCTGAGTTTATTATTATTTGGTCATCATGATGTTCTGAATAGTCCAGATAAACTACATGATACTGGACTCGTGTCTGCTTTGCTCCAAACCCTGAATTACAAGCCATTTATAGTTCTGGCTTGTAATGGTAACCTAAGCTTACCTGTAGTTGCGACACCTGTAGGACCTTACAGTGGCATTCAGTTTTGTTGGGGTGTGTTAAACATAGGTCTCCTCTCTCATCCTGATGACAGTCTTCCTGTTTCTGCCATGCTTCTGGCTTTTCCTAGCTAGATTATTTTGACACTGTGAAAATGATTCAGAGTCCATCTCTAACAGTTGCTGGAAGCATGCAAGGCTGTAAATAGCTGCCAAGCAGATACTAGAAGGGAAACTACAGCGTTTATTAGCCCTGAGAGACATCTTTCTGAGCATCAACTACTCATGGTGACAAGTCATAGCTGTTGTGTAGGGAAAACCTCACATAAGCTAGTACACAGCAAGTGGAACAATAGTTGCTTCTGGCTCTAGGATTCACAGAGCTGCAAATGCCATGTGGCGAGTGCAGCTGCAGGGCCTGTCTGTGCGGATTCAGTTATCCAACATAGGAGCTACTTAGCAGTAGTATTTCAGTTTCTACTTAATCTTTGTTTCTCTAGTCTTTTGTAGATAAGTTGGCATTTTCCACCTAAAATTCAGAGTTCGATACAAAAGGCAGTCACACATCTCAGGTTTATTATTTAAGTGCTGAAATGACTAATGCATTGAAGGCAGAACGTAAAAAAGAATAACTGATGCTAGTAACAGTAAAACTGAGCATAGCAGTGATTTCTGGTTTTTTATCTAGTCTACAAAAAATTATCACATTGATTTAGAGATAGAGTTTTTGCTAATATACCATTTTTATGCCAGTTTCTCCAGCAATGTAATACTCACTATTATAGACTCGTATAAGCAGCCTATGCAAAAACCAGGACATTACTGCGAGAGCATTAAAAATAGATGTTTCTAATTAGCATGTGCTGACAATTTGCTGCTGATTTCAGTGGGGGTGGGATTTAATTTCATACATATGATTTTCACCATGCCTGAACTAAAAAGTTGATTAAATTTATGATTTTCCTAACAAATAAATTGCTAAAAAATGAGTAATATTTTAATTTCTTCTTTCAGGCAAAGAGCAGACCTTGCTTCAGAAGGATTATGAGTCTGCCTCTCTGACAGAAGTCCGTGCCATGTTAAGGAAACATGAAGCTTTTGAGAGCGATTTGGCTGCTCACCAGGACAGGGTGGAACAGATTGCTGCCATTGCCCAGGAGCTGAAGTATGTTCCATTTAAAGGCTTGCAGCTGCTGACATTTAACTTTGCGATAAACTCTTTCCAATGAATTTGATAGTGTCATAGGTACCAACGTAGGAATTCCAGGCATAGCTTCATAAGTATATTATCTGAGCTGCTCACTGAGACCTTTCCCTCATCTCCCCCTTACCCCCAACCAAATATAGACATTCAACTGAACAAAACTATTTGAAAAGAAACATTTTCAACTTGACTTCACAGTTATATTTTAGATTAGCTCTACCCATGAGTCCATTGTGGGTTGATGGGAATCCTGGAGGTGTTTATTTCTCAGTTCATATGGTCTGCTGAGAGGTATGGGCTATGAGTTAACCTAGAAAATAATTTCACTTACACAAATTACAGATCAAGTATCTTCACAAGTATATTGGTCCTTTCAAAAGGCTTCACATCCCTTTATTATCTCTATAATAGTGGGTAATGCACTGACTTCCTGCAGATTTAACTGTCTCTAATATGCTTATTTTCACAACCTCTTGATATTATATTTGGAAGTGTCATTGTCTCCATTTTACAGATGGGACACTGGAAACTAAATAAATTGCTCTCAGATTCCTGCCCTTGGCTTCACTCACCAAGTTTCAATTTCTCACCTTGAACAGGCAGAACAGTTACTGCTCAGAAATGGCATCTTAGAAACATGCCCTTTTTCACTTTGTGAAGGACCATGACTCACCAACAGCTCCATCTTCATTAACGATTAAAAATCAGATACTTGTGTAAAAATGCAGTTCATATCTGATAGCAGCAGCACTGCCAATAATCATGTAATTCAAATGGATTTAAAAGAAAAATGCCATCTTCAGGATTATTTAAAGGAAGAAAAATTGGGCACAGTGGGCAGACTAAGTACTGTGCTTTGGTTAATATGAAAGAAATCTGAAAAAAACCACACAGAATGGAGATTGCCCTGAATGTGTGAGATTATGAAACAGTTTCTGGCATGCCTTGATCTCTGTTTTGGAGTTATTTCATGAGATGGCTTGGGTTGGAAGGGACCTTAATGATCATTTAGTTCCAAGACCCCTACCATGGACAGGGACATCTTCCTCTAGATCATGTTGCTCAAAGCCCCATCCAACCTCGCCTTGAACACCTCTGGGTAAGGGACATCCACAGCTTCTCCAGGCAACCTGTTCCAGTGCCTCACCAGCCTCACAGTAAAGAATTTCTGCCTAATATCCAGTCCAAACCTGCCCTCTTGCTGTTTAACACCATTCCCCCTTGTCCTCGTTAAAAGTACCTCTCCAGCTCTCCTGTAAGTCCCTTTAGGCACTGGAAGGCTGCTATAGGGTCTCCCCAAAACCTCCTTGTCTACAGGCTGGACAGCCCCAACTCTCTCAGCCTGTCTTCTTAGGATGGATGCTCCACCCCTCTGATTATCTTCGTGTCCCTTCTCTGCACCCACTCCAACAGGTCCATCTCTTCTCTGGGGGCCCCAGAGCTGGATGCAGTGTTCCAAGTGGTGTCTCACCAAAGCAGAGCAAAGGACAGAATCCCCTCCCTGGCCCTGCTGCCCACGCTGCTTTGGATGCAGCCCAGGGCACATTTGGCTTTCTGGGCTGGGAGTGCCCATGGATGGGTCATATTTAGCTTCTTGTCATCCAGCATCCCCAAGTCCTTCCTCCCAGGGCTGCTCTCAATCAATTCTCTACCCAGCCTTTATTTGTGCTTGGGATTGCCCCGAGATTTGTTTCTCTTTATACTAAAGAAAGTTTCTGTAACACCTAATCATTGCTAATTCAGCTTCAGCTTTACGAATTATGAGAAACTTTGGGAATGTAGCATACATAGCACAGCATCTGCTTACCAGTGTTTTGAACCCTCTGTCCTTTACCTCTGGTGACACCAGTGAACACTGTATCCTGTCTATTTTGGGATTGTCTCTTCTCAGTTGTTTCAGTAATTTGCTGTGTGAAGTAAAACAAGTTATTTGTGGCCTGGGCTGCAAAGGTGCTGAAAGCTGATTGCATTTAGAGATGCTCTAATTTGATTTCTCTGCTTCTCCATACAATGGTGCTATCAGTGCCTGATTTTTCACTGTGACTGTGTAACTCAGTTAGGCTTAATGCCCATGTGGAACACTGAATGAAAGGTCATAAAGGTCAGGTTTTATCACTGGCTGCAAGCAAATGGGCAGCTTCTATTTAAATACTGATTTTAATTATTTATACATAATTTCTTGCACAATAAAATTATGGAGGAAAATGCTAATTTCTTTCTTAATCCATATTTTTAAAGAAGGATTGAATGCTGAATGTCTGAATGCTAAGAAATGTGCACTGGCATTTGATACAAAGTCTGTTGAAGTCAGTGTGGGTATTTCTTGATTTTTGGTTGGTTGGTTTGTGGGTTGGTTGTTTTTTTCCTCATCACTGGAGCAGGCCCTTACAAAAACCATCATTGTCTATGTCTAAATTCCAAGTCAATACACCTCCATGTTTTGTTTTAATCAATCTCTTGGATGCCTAATGTTGCAATTTCAAAGGAGAGCGATTGCTGTATGACCTTGAACTCTACTAGTTACAGTTTCCTGTCCTGGTATTTTCTGCTACAGCTCAGTCCACTGTGTGCTTAAGGTTAAAGTTGCTACAGCTTGTTGATTGATGCTATTTAGATAGAGAATTTATGAGTGTATGCAAACAGGTGATTCCAGCCAGGATGCTGCTGTAAGATTGTGTTGGGGTCCGCTGTTATGTGTCTCTGCCCCGACACAGGGAAAGGTGGTTCTGGGCGGCCGCGATTGCGAAGGACGAGTCTGGACTCTTAGATTTTCGGTCTTCAGTTCTGTTTATTATCTCTTATCTACAAAGTTTTCTCTTTGCCCAGCCGAGGTCCGCTCAGCAGGACAGTCGAGTGCACTCTCTCCCGCCCACAGGGCGGCTGTGTCTTTTATAGTAAAAATTACGTGTGACATATTTACCTTTATTTCCCAATACTATTCATCCTTATAGACAAGTGCACTTTCACTACGAACCAATCTCCAAGTGCCAACATCACCACACAAAATGGAAGACATGAAGAAGAAAGAAGAACACAGGACCACGCCCTGAATCCTCCATCTTGCCTTCATGACCCCCCTGTACCTATTTTTCTAAAATTTATATTTCCTTCTATAAAGGTATCATTCACGTCCTGGAATTGGCTATTCGCTCACTGGCAACCCAATCATACATGCCGAGAATGGTTTTCTTGGTCGGGAATGTGTCAGGCAGATGCTGTCTAAATCTGTGTTCCCAGCCTATATAAACTTAGATATTCCTTGGCAAAGAGGTATGACAGGGCTTGGATAGGGCTTTATACAAAGCTGAAGGGGTAAAGGCATTTCTAAAATGAGATTTGCCGTTTATGACATAGTAAATGCTCATTTGAGTGAGCTGTGCTATAAAAGCCCATATTAATTTATGATCTTATGTGCTCATTTCAATGTTTTCGATCATCAAGACAAAAATTTTGGAATGTAGTTTCTTGTATATCCATCACTTGTAGTATAGTGACTGATTTTCAGCCAAGCAGACCATTATCTGTAAGACTGATTTTAGAGTCATTTTGATTCTGGAGACCTGGGCTCAAATTGTGCTTACGTGCATGGTTAACATGAGCCTTGTTCTGAAGCATTGCTAAAACATGTTGCTCAGCAGGTTATTTTTGTGGCACTATCACTGTTCCCAAAGTGAGCTCAGACTTAAGTGCTTCTCTGGATCAGGTCAAAATTTGACTGAATTTTTAGTTTTTGACAGAGAAGATTGAGTCACTTGTAAGATCAATAGTGGTAACTCAATGATTTTTAAATTCCAAAGGTTGTAGGTTTCAAATGGCCAAACAAATAGAAAGACTGTTCTCTTAGAGGAGAGAACAGAACTGTCTTTAACACGTGAGAAGCAGTACTTCACACACTGCAAAGTAAAAATTTTCACAAAATGTAAATCTAATCTCTTCAACGTTGAGAAAGACAGAAAAATTAATAGGACAGGGAATGTAAACCTGTGTTTTATTTCCAACTAATTAATCTTTGAGTTATTACTTCCTCGGCTCCTGCTTTGAGCAGAAAAATGTTCTTTGATACCTATAATACACTTATTTGAAGCAAACAACAGCAGGTCCAGAAAGGTAGTGGAGCTACACTTCTTAATGCCACTTGGTAAACTAGCTTAGGATTTAGTTACCTAGCACTGTGGGTGCCCTTTTCAAATGTTGTTTTGATATTTTTCTCCTACCTGTTTGTCCACAGCACATATCCCTGGAAGGAACAGGATAGTAGAGATCTTATGAGGAATGACTGAATCTCCCTGGCAGAGCTTGTAGAGGAAGGTGGTGTATCACCTTCCAGGACTTTGACCACAGCTGGTACAATCAGTCCCTCACTTTCATGGAAGTGCCCTTACCCGCCCTTACCCTTAATTGACAAAAGGAGATAAGTGATTGAAGCAAAAATAAAGTTTGCTCACTCAGGAACATAATCTAATAAATTTAATAAGCTATAATGAAAAAAACCCCAACTTTCAGCCAAAAGCTCCTGACAGCAAAATCAATCTCAGCCTGTTTCATCCAAGACTCTACGCTTTTGACTTAAAATTTCTTAGCAGATAGGTGGCTTTTGTTGTACCCCTTGAAGGCTCATGAAAAACTTCCAAAGAAGGAAGTGAGTTTTCCAGTTAAGGAGCCCTTGTACAATGTGACTTGCTGGCAATTTTCTCTTTACATACGAGAGTTTACTTTTACAATTCAGAGTTGTTTTTGTTATTTTTTTAAATTGTTCAGAGGATTGGATTAGAGAATACCTAGGCAAACTTGACATCTTACAAGCCCGTAGGCTCTGATGGGCTGCATCCATTATTGCTAAAAGAACTGTTGGCTACCATAGTGAGGCTGCTCATGATGATCTTTGAAAGGCCATTGCAGTCAGGAGAGGTGCCTGAGGACTGGAAGAAAGCAAATGTCACCCTAGCCTTCAGCAAGTGCAAGAAAGAGGACTCAGAGAGCTACCAGCCGGTAGCTCCAGCCTCAGCTTAATCCCTGGCAAGGGGATGGAGCGTCTGATTCTGGAGGCCATCTCTAGCCACAGGGAAGACAGGAAGGTGATCAGGAGTAGTCAGGTGAATCATATTTGACCAACCTGGTTGCCTTCTGCAATGACTCAACTACCTGGACGGATGAGGGAAGACCAGTGCGTTTTGCCTCTCTTGATTTCAGTGAGGCTTTGAACACTGTCTCTTACAACATCCACACAGGCAAAGTCAGGAGGTGCAGGCTGGATGAGTAGACAGTGGGGTGGATTCAGAACTGTCTGAATGGCAGATCCCAGAGGGCTGTACCCAGTGGCACGTGGCCAAGTTGGAGGCCTGTCACTGGTGGTGTCCCCCAAGGTCCAGCACTGGGCCCAGTGATGTTCACCTTGCTCATCAGTGACTCAGGTGAAGGGGCAGATGCCTCCTCAGCAGGTTCACTGACAGCACAAAGCTGGGAGGAGGGCCCAATACCCCAGAGGGCTGTGCAGCCCTTCAGAAGGACCTCGGCAGGTTGGGGAGCTGGGCAGAGGAGAACTGACTGAAATTTATCAAAGGCACGTGCAGGGTCCTGCACCTGGGCAGGAAAAACCCCTGCACCAGCACAGGCTGGGGACTGAGCTGCTGGAAAGCAGCTCTGTGGAGAAGGACCTGGGGGTCCTGGTGGACAACAAGCTGTCCAAGAACCAGCAGTGCCCTGTGGCCAAGAAGGCCAATGGTGTCCTGGGATGGATTAGGAAGGGCATTGCCAGCAGGTCGAGGGAGGTGATCCTGCCCCTCTACTCAGCCCTGGTGAGGCACATCTGGAGAGCTGGGTCCTGTTCTGGGATTCTCAATACAAGAGAGTCATGGAACAGGCCAGTGGAGGGATACAGAGATGATGAGGGGACGAGAACATCTCTCTTATGAGGAAAGGCTGAGGGAGCTGGGCCTGTTCAGCCTCGAGAAGAGATCACTGGGAAGGGACCTCATCAATGTCTATCAGTATCTAAAGGGAGGGTGCCAAGAGGATGGAGCCAGGCTCTTCTCTGTAGGGCTGAGCAATAGGAAAAGAGGCAACAGGCAGAAACTGATGAACAGGAAATTCTATGTGAATATGAGGAAGAACTTCTTCACTGTGAAAGTGACCAAGCATTGGAATAGATTGCCCAGAGAGGTTGTAGAGTCTTCCTCATCGGAGATATTTAACAACTGCCTGGCCTCAATCCTGTAACATACTCTAGGATGACCCTGCTTGAACAGCGAGGTCGGACCAGATGACCCACTCTAGCCCCTTCCAACCTGACCCACTCTGTGATTTTGTAATTCTGTGATTCTGTTATGGTATTTTTTTTACCTGTTTTACCATTCTTGACTTTCAACAGTCAATTGATTATAGCACATCTGAAGCTTCTTTTAAACAGAATGCTTCTCATACTTCTCAGGTTTATCCCAAACCAGATTGATCTGACTGGGCTTAGAAGAGGAAACATGAACACTGCCCCTGGCCTAAAGAGCTGCTGGCTTCCGGCCTCTGGCTTCACAGAGGAAAGCTGCCTCTGTTCTCATTTTGTCCTCTGTGATTCTCTGTATTACTGGCAGTGTGATCTGTTCATTCCTCTTGCCAGTTGCCTAGAGAAGAATACTCAAACAAAAAGGGAACAAATTCTATCTGCATTTGCTGTCTTGTTCAAGCCTTAAAGTGAACCTTACATTCATTATTGCCATGTGTCACACATTTACAGTCTCTGCAACGTTTAGTACTGGGCGGAGTGTTCTCAAGGCGAAGCCAAGAGCTAAATTCAATGGATGGTGATGCACCAATAAAAGGGAGTTTCCAAAGTGTCAAACACATGTATTATGGATGATTATCATTTGCTACTGAGATCAAAAGTTCAGTTTGAAGCAGAGTCAGTCCAGAATCTCAGGACATAATCTCAAAAATTTATTGCAGTCTCAGGCAGAATAGTAAGTTGCTTTCTTCAGGATGATACTAGCCTATTAAGCAGGTGAAAATGCAATGGTAACTGCTATCCTTTGTGAATGCACTCATTCATTCTTGTGGCATATGTGGGTCTGGAGATCCCTGTTCTCTGAACAAGCCATTTCTGGGATGTAGGTCTGTGAGGAGATCCTGGAGAGGAAGATGAAAATTGTTCTCTGCTCCCCAGATCTTGGAAGCCCCTATTAGTATTGCTGGGCTTCTGAGAGATTATGCTTTGAATGCAACCTGATTTGTGTTTCTCTGTTAAATAATTTCAAAGCATATAAGGAAAGGATCATTTGATTATTTAAAACAAAGTGGGTATTTCAGGCCAATTAATTTTAAAAGGTACCAGTTTTTGCAAACTTGTTAAAGACGAAGACTGAAGCATTCTGGCCATCAGGGGATCAAATTGCTTGTGTCACAGGAATAGCTATGACAAAGATGCTTGGACACCTTAATTTTGATTAATACCTCGATATCACTTGATTTTTCTCAGAACAGAGTGGATTGATCCTGTTCCTGTGCTGTGCTTCTTGAAATGCTGAATGCCTAAACAAAATGTCTCTACTGCAACACTTGCTTACGTTGGAAGAAATATTGCAAAGAAGAGGGGAAGAATTGTTGAGGGCTAGTGGCAGTGTGGACACTGCTCCTGTCTTTCAAAAAGTCACAGAGTTTTGTCTTTTCTCTTTCTTAGTGAACTGGACTACCACGATGCTGCAAGTGTCAATGATAGATGTCAAAAGATATGTGACCAATGGGACAGTCTGGGAACACTCACTCAGAAAAGGAGAGAAGCACTGGAGGTAAAGCTTGTAATAAGGATCAGTAGCTCAGCTGAGGAAGGGAGAGGGAAATGAACAATTTATTTCAGATCTGGAAATGGTGCCTTTGAGCATCCACTTTGGAGTCCAAATAGCAAAAAACCCTTTCCTCAGATCTTCATTTAATTTTGGTGTGGTTACTCTTGCAAATGGACTGAATTACTCAGAGTAGACTTGGCAGTTCTGAGCTGCTGGGGACAGCTCTAATGCAGCAACAAATGGCATGTGGTTTGTAACACCCCTCTGTGGGAATCTGATGTCCAGCAAGGCTAAAAAAAGCTATTGGTTGGTTATCTTTTCATACCAGTCTAAGTTTGCAGTCTTGCATACTTTTCTGTCCAGCAGTAGGTAAATTTTTGGTGGTGAGTATTTCAAAGCACTGAGATACTTTGCATAACCTTGTTTGTTTGGAAAAGAGGAAGTCACACACATAAATGCCTAGGTGGGAAACGTGTAATTCTTCCTTTTTCTACTTAAGAGAAATTAGTAAATCAAAATTAGCAGATTTTAACTCATTTGCAGATAGATCCCAATAACAAAAATACTTGATATATATTTATATAAAATACTTTAAATATTAGTATTATACTTCACAGGCATACACTCACCCCTTTTAGTGAGTTGGATATATTCTACTGCAATTAGTCCTATTGCCTTGAGTGGGAAATCTTAAAGCAGGTGGTGAAATCAATAAATGCAATCAAATGCATTTCAAAAGATGAGGCATGGCTTTCTTTATGGGCATGTATGTGATACGTGTGGAGCTAGATTGTGCCCTAATAACAAAAGAATGCACTTTTCCCAACCTGTACAGAGGACGGAGAAACTGCTTGAAACAATTGATCAGCTTCACCTGGAGTTTGCCAAAAGAGCTGCTCCTTTCAACAACTGGATGGAAGGTGCTATGGAAGACCTACAGGACATGTTTATTGTTCATAGCATAGAGGAAATTCAGGTAATTGTATTATTTCCTGTATCTACACCCAGCAGCCAGGATGTTTGAGAGCCTGAGAGAGGAGCTGTGCTTATTTACACCAGATTTTCCAGATGCTGGAAGAAATGTTTTCATGCTTTCCCTCTCTGTTTCTGATTTTAGAGTTTAATCTCTGCACACGATCAATTTAAAGCTACTTTGCCAGAGGCAGATGGTGAACGACAGGCCATACTGTCTATCCAGAATGAAGTTGAAAAAGTCATCCAGAGTTACAGCATGAGAATAAGTGCAACCAATCCTTACAGCACTGTTACAGTTGAAGAGATTCGTAGCAAGTGGGAAAAGGTAATGTATGCTAAATTTCTAAATACAGAAAGGACATTGTGATACATTATTCCAGTTGAGATATACTGAGAATATTCAGAGAACTTTACAATAAATCTCTAAAGTGTTCTAGATCGTCAGATGCGGGAATGAATTTCTGCAGTACCTTATGCTCTCACTTATGTTTGCCCGGCTCTCTTCACAATATCCCTTGCTCCTGTCACGCAATATTACCTATATCCTCTTTGGCTTTCTGCCTGGACTAGAGAAGCATGTGTTGAGGCTAGTGCAGAGCTGGTGCCTAGCTAGGGGTGCTGTTATTAAAGAACAGGAAATGATTGTATTCTTTCTCTTAGTATAAAGAATAATTTTTGTGTTTCTTCTACTCAGATGCTGCTTTTCAAAATATGTTGTATAAAATCAGCATCTTTGGAACCATTAATGTTTCTGTCCAATTAGATTAAAATTGGCATTAGCAACTGAAAAATACTGGGAAGGAATTAAAGAGAGGGTCTTAGAGCAATCACACCAATTTAATTTCATTAGGAGCCAAGACAGAAAACACGCTGCAGGTAAATGATTGTGTAAAATGTAGAATTACAGAATCTTACATGGACAAGAACACACTCTCAATGGGTAATAAAAATGAAGCAGTACGGACTAAGGTTAGAATCTCCCTGGGCAATTCAGAAGGGTAAGCCACACAAAAGCATTTGCAATGAATTAGACTTCCAGATGTGCATGACAGACAGAACACGTTTCATGTTATCCTATTCTAATGGAGGTGCTCAAATAAAATGTTTTGCACTGACTGTTCTTAGAAAAATTACTTAGAGATTGAAAAATCACCTTCAGTAAAAGTGAAATTGTCTTGAACTTGAATCCAGCCAGAGGTGAGAATTTCTTCTCTCTGCATGTCAGTCTCTCTGGTCAGGCTGCCTAAGACCATGTTACAAATTTCTTATGTTAGCACAGAATTTGTAAATAAAATAGTGATTATCCTGGATTGTTCTGATATTGGCCTTCAGACCAATAATGAAAATTATTAGCTCTAGACTTGTTCCATTTGTTGTTAAACTATTCAATTGTGCCTACTCACCTTTAGTGCCCTCCCACTGTAACAGGTGAAGCAGCTGGTGCCTCAGAGGGATCAATCCTTGCAGGAGGAATTAGCCCGCCAGCACGCCAACGAGCGCCTGCGCCGCCAGTTTGCTGCTCAGGCCAATGTCATCGGGCCGTGGATCCAGACCAAGATGGAGGTGAGTGCCAGATCCTCATGCAGATGCTGATGAATAAAGTGATTTTTAATTTTTTCATCTTTATAGACAGGGCAACAGCAAAGTCATTGACAGTTCGCCAGCTGTTTGAGCCTAAACTATTTAGCACGTGTTAAGATACTTTGTGGAACTTTGTACAAGTGATACTTTGATGGTGACCAGCTTTGAAAAATTAATCACTAAACAATTACTGTTTAGCTTCTGCTTTTTGTAGAAAAGATACCAGGTTCACTGGGGTCTCAATACTAATTCCAGATTTAAATATGACACATTTCTTTTGAAATGTATTTTCTGTAGTAAAGTTTCTCATCTCCACTGTATGAAGGTGTTACTACTGTTGCTTCTTAGTATAAAAATACAACATATTTACGTGAACATTGGTCAAATTAGCACATCTGAAGCTTAAATTTTTCGGGACTGGGGGGGTGTCTTTTTTTTTGTTTTGACAGGAAATTGCCCGCAGTTCTATTGAAATGACAGGGCCTTTGGAGGACCAGATGAATCAGCTGAAGCAATATGAGCACAATATCATTAATTATAAACACAATATTGACAAACTGGAAGGAGATCATCAGCTTATACAAGAAGCCCTGGTGTTTGACAACAAGCACACCAACTACACCATGGAGGTAGCCATCTACTCCCTTTTATATTTATTAGTTTATTCTGTCCTCTTGTGCTGTATGACTACCTTCCCTGATTTAAAGGGACTCCCACAGAAGATGGAATTTGGCAGGCTTTCTGGCAATCTCATAAGACTTGTTTTATTTTCATTTATTTTCACTTTTTAGTGAGGAAGTAGCCATTTAGAAACCAGTTTCATATTTTTCTGAAGGCCATTTTTATTTTGAGTGATCCTTGGTCATAATACAGAGTTAGTGGTATGGAAAAAGTATCACATGAATATTTAGAGCTGATTTATTTCTTATTGTACTTTTTATACTCTTAAAAGAATATATTTGCTTCTGTAATAACTCAGTATTTTCTCTCTCATAGCACATCCGTGTTGGATGGGAGCTCCTGCTTACCACCATCGCTCGAACTATCAATGAGGTTGAGACTCAGATCCTCACAAGAGATGCCAAGGGTATCACCCAGGAACAAATGAATGACTTCAGAGCATCATTCAATCACTTTGACAGGGTACAGTACTCCTGCTTTTTCTCAGCTAGCAATATTTATTCTTCCCAAAAGCGAGTTTCTTGGCATTCCAAACATAAGCCTTTTAAAAAACTTGAAAGTGCACTAGCAATGGGCTCTTTTTAAAAGAGAAAAAAAGATCAGTTAATAAAGAATTTATAGCCTTATAAAGTCATGGGATGGCTTTGTCAGTCAGGCTTGGGCTGGAAGGGACTTCAAAGATCATCTAGTTCCATTCTCCCTACCTTGGGCAGGGATGCCATCCACCAGATCATGTTGCCCTGGGCTCCCCACAGCCTAGTAACATTGTGCACATAAATTAAAGATTAATTTTTGCTTTTTAAATGTAATGCATAATTATAGCTCTGCTAATATGATTTGTTCAAACAATAAGCAGAACTGTATAAATCTGTGTGCTTTGGAAAATAACATGACCCTTTTATTTTAAGGCTGTACAGCATGTTCTAAGTACTTGCTGTTGTTTTCATCTCATTAAATTTAGCTGTAATCTACATCACAGAGTTTTTTTTCCCCTTTGAATCCCAACTTGTCTCCCTAGAAATGTATTTTTAGGGAATGTATTTGGGACATTTACAGCTGTCCAGGAATATCCTTTATTTTTCTGGCTGTATGTGGGAAATAAGAGGCTGTTACTTTTTTTAGTTATCTAAATATGGATGAATAAAAAAGTAGGAAGGAAAACAGTACTGTGAAGAAACTTAACTCACTTCTGTGAGTTATGCAGTATTCATGGACAGAGTGTTATAAAGATAACTATTAATGCATGCAATAGCAAAATATATGCAGATGGGGATCTGACATTTGGACTTGGAGAACAATCTGAACATGAGTTAGTTCTGATGGCTCTGTGCTGACCCACCTTTAAAACCAAGTTCACAGTTCAAATACTGAAAAAACGTATCATAATGCAGCACCAGTCTGTCAAGTCAGTCAGTCAAATCATTGCAGGCTGCAGCAAAATGCCACTTTCTTTTCACTAAGCTCCTGTTTGTCCAGCTCAACTCAAATTGGTTGCCTGTATGTGCACTTTCATTTGATATGGAATGGATGCTGATAGTCAGTTTACTCAATCTTTTTTGGAATACCCCTAACTGTTTAGGAGGAAGACCAGAATTACCAAACCTCTACTTGCTGAAGAAACATACAAGCATAGGGAAATGTAGCTACACAGAACTAGGAATGGATTTTATGGAAAAATCTTAATGTGATTCTATTACAGCATAATTCTTTTTTGTATTTTCTAAGGAAGCAGAAGATAACATCACAAAAGCATAGATGGTTTTCTTGGGGTGAAAGGAAGTAGCATACCAAATGGCTTTCCCAATGCACTGGAGCAGATAATTGAGCAATTAGAGCTATCAAAAGCAAAGTACCAGGCCTAGATAAATTACATGCCTGTACTTGAGAGACTTCTCTAAGGGAAACCAAGGTGCACAAAAATTTGACAGTTCCCTAAAGATAAGGAGGCAAAGTGACTGAATCCAAGTCTGTTTTATACTGGATGGCCATTTCTAGCATCCCTGTACCTTTGTAGTTCATAGGTGAGGTCTCTGTCCCGCTTGCATCAAGGCTGGCTCAGTGGCTGAGGAATATTAGTCAGCTCTTGGTGCCTCAGGCTGCTTGAAGGGAGAAGCTAAATCCTATGCCAACCAGCCCTACTGTTACAGATTTTCAGGCTTTGCAGATACAGTAAGATACTGAAATACCAAAGCATAACACAGAGCAATGCCTTAGGAAAGGTTGTATGACCTGGAAGAAGGTGGTTGTGTCACACTGCTGCTAGCACACTGGAGATGGCCTACAACGATAATGACTAATACAAAATTGGTTCCCTGCTCTTAGATTCTTACCTGTCCCTGACTGTCTCTTTCCTCAGGCTATGATGGGTCATGGCTTTAGGCTGTGTCCCTTCTGTCCTGGCTCTGGTTGCAGGAAGCCTGAATGGCCAGGTCAGAAGCAGACAGACGTTTTATCTATCGTACATCCTCATCTGTTTCTGTGGCCTCAACAACCTGGGCCTGGTCTGCAAGTTTAGCTGTAGACCCTGCCTTTCCCCATGACAGATATAATCCAATGGCTTAAAAAGAGACTCTGGAAGGATCACATTAGGAAAGAACCATTTTACAAATGCCCTCTTTAGTATACCCCATCCCCCAGAATCAAGCATGGGAAACTAGTCTAGGTGGACTTTCACACTGACAGAGTTACTTTCTCTGTAGCATAATGCAATTTAAAGAAAGGAAGAAGGTACGATCTAAAATGACTCAACCATCAAGCCAGGCTTTATGTAGGGAACAAATAGTAGAAACACTGATAAAAGAGAAGTTTATAAGGATTAAATTACACTGTTACTTAATGGACAGATGCAACTCAATCTACACAGGCTACAAGGAGTCTTTGAACAAACATATTGGAGAAAGACAGGCTTGTTTTTCATTTTTCTATCTTTCCTGTGTCCTTGCACATTCAAATATTTAGTGCTGGTGAACGAAGGCAACTTAGGGAGTTACTTCAGTGTACATAAAATAATGAAGACTTTATATTTGTTCATCTTTAGATAGAGAAGGCAGTATTGGATTATTTTATGATTTTGATTTCCTTAAATAGAAATGAAGATAAAACTGGATTATCTGAACATAAGCACTACCATGAAAAATCTTCATGTCAGATGGAATTAACAATATATGTAAAAATTTTGTGGCACTTAGCAGCATTTCTGAATGCTTGATACAGTTTAAAAATACACTTGAAGGATTGGATTGCTGTTCACCATGATGAATAGCCAGAAAGGATCCCAAAAATTAATACTGTCACTGACAAGGAGGCTTTAAATATCTAAGTACAACAGAATAATTTATGCATGGTATAGCTTTGACTTGTGTGGCATTTCTCACATTTAAGACATTTCTTAATGTCTGACAGTGTGCGTTGGGGATGTCAGCAAAGTACTAATATGCCATTCCTTTCCCCATTATAAAGTATGTATTTTGGTATACATAAATCTAATAACTCTTTTTAGGGTGCTTCTAGAAACAACTTCCTTTGCTTATGAATCTGAGAAAGGAACTCCTGTCTTCCTCCCTGGGAAGAATATATTAAAAAAAATTTCTCACAGTGCATGTGAGAATTACAAGGGCAGGAAGAGTTGTGTTTCTTCCAGTGCATCCCCAGCAGAAATGTGCTGGCACAGAGAGCTTTACAAGTCACACTTGGAAAGGCAAGTGGCAACCATGCTCTTTCCCCTGGCTCACGGGGGTAAGAGCCCTCTTGGCTCTTGTGTTCCTGGCAGGCATGTACACATGCTGGTGCACCAGGGGTTATTCCTGAGGGTACTGATGCTTGCCCTTGCTTACCACTGCTGCCCCACTCCTTGCTAGAAATTGTTCCTGAAGGCACAGTCTAGTTGTGGTTATAAATATAAATCTTTAGCATTGCTGCTATGTTTCCTTCCTTAATGTGACTGCATGGAGAAAAAAAGAGGAAGTGGGACACAATGTCTGAATCACAGAAGCGGTTTAGAAGTGTTCAAAATGGTGCATAGCTGAATAATGGTATGCAGCCAAATCAGGATACCACACATATAGGCTGTCAGTCACTGGTTTTGACATCTCTTTATGCAGGGATTCCTTTTTCAGATTCAGTATATTTAGTAAATTCTAAATAAGATTGCAAAGTACGTGATGAAATATCTGCAGCTGCTCTGCCTGTACTATTTTAATGGCTGCTAATACATTCTACTATTGATTTTTCTGCAAACTACAGATTTCAAGTAGGAGGTCTGCATGCAGAAAAATAGCATCATGCCACCCTGTATTTTGCTAACAGAAAAACAACAGCTCTCTATTAAAGGAATCATATGTTCAGGCTTATGCAGGTCGATTAGCATTCAGGAAAATTAAGGACATATTTAAGAATGGATTAGTTTGACTCAGAAGTTCACTTGTTTTATAAGGTCACATATAAATCACAAGGAGAAGGGAAAAGATTTCTGGGGACTAATAATGAAACATAAAGGAGATTTTAGTGTTTTTCTTTGTATTGGCAGGAAAATATAAACAAGGCAAAATTATTTATATTTGTTAAAAGTTTAATTTCAGCTCCTAATGTTGGTCTGCAAACAATAAAAGTAAATATCAAGAACCATTTCCAATTGAGAAAGCCTTCATATGGGCTTGATCTATGCCTTAATTGCAAAATGCTATTGAATTCCATGAAACTCTTGATATACTTCAAAGATGCTTTTTAGGCAACATATGATGAAGATTTGAAAATTTCACTACAAGAATGTGAAAACCTGCTATAGCACTTGGCACTACTACTTGGACCCTCACTAGGGAGTCCCACTTAACCATATGACTGTTCTGAGCTGCAGCACAACGACTTCACTTCTCTCCTAAAGAAAATGGTATCTTGGAGCAGGTGCCAGCCCCTCACTCCCATCTGCCCTTCACTGCCTCAGCTCCTGCTGCTGTGTGTGTGTGTGTGCCTGGCTGGGCAGCTCCTGCACACACTGCCCACCCAGCCCCCCTGGAGTGGGGTGGTAGCTGGTGATCCTCCCCCAACACCTGCTAGAGGAGACTGAGGGGCAGGATTTGGCTCTTAGCTCCCATTTTTGTCTCATTTTGTTTGCAGTCACACAGAAGTATCCTCAGCTTCAGAAATGAGGTAAAATTAATAACTTCACCCCTGGTGGGACCTGCCATAGCCTGTCTCCAGGACAGCTTTTGAAAGTTTCAAACCAGCCTAGATTAACATTTTGAGAATGATAAAATAAGCCATTTTGAATGCTTTATAGCAGGAATCATCTCATAAAATGGAAATATTAAAGGATAGAAACGACTGTGATTATGGCTTTTAACTAAATGCTGCTCCAGATTTGTAACTTTGCTTTTTTTCTCTTCATTGACTTCCCACTGTTATTTTTCATCTTTCTTTTATGGGGCTGGTGGATGTTGATGCAGAGGGAGTCAATAACAGCATGATATTTTAAAAATGCGTGGTGTTATTAACTTACTAAAGCACCACTTCATCCTATTAGTATATTAAATAAGCCCAGTGCATTTGTTAAACTCGTATAATTTAACCTAGGCATAGCTATATGGAAATGTCCAAAAATAAATTATTCATCTAGCAGGCAAGTATGTAGCAGACAGAAAACCTTGGATCTTCTCCAAACTGTCTGTAAAATCAATAAGCGTAATAATTTTTCATCTTGGAATACTTCCTTAATTGTACTTATGTTAACTCACTCTAAAGTACCCCTCTGATAGGACACATTTCGTATGAACAGGAAGAAAAAGACAAGCCAGTCTGGTTTTAAGAAGTTATTGTGACTTTCTTCATGGGCAAAATAGAAAAATATATTGATTCAAAACAGTGTTCCAGTTTGATGCGGTTTTGTTGGGAACCATTTAACCTGGAATTCAATGGCACTTTTTAAAAGTCAGTTTTCAAAGCAAAACCTGACTATATATATTGTTAAAGAAGACAGATAACTGAAAATAAGTTGTCAATTATAAATTTATTTTGTACTTGTCTCCTTTGAGATATGCATATTGCATTAAGTAGTATTACCAGATCAAGAATGAAGTAACAGTAATTGAGTAGTGAAGACATGTTTTGCCCAGGTTCAGTGGTATTTTTACTGCATCTCACATACACTGAATCACAGAATTACTGGGCTCAAAGAGATCTTCAAGATCATTGAGTCCCACCTGTTCCCTGACCCCTCAACTAAACCACTGCACTGAGTGCCACATCCAGTATTTTTTTAAACACATTCAGGGATGGTGACTCCACCACCTCCCCAGGCAGACCATTCCTGTACTTCCAGCATACTGCATGACAACAGAAAAGGAAGGAAGCAAATGGAAGTTCATAGAATGAAATCTGCCTTGTCAGCAAAGGTATTTAAAAAAACAGATGGAAGGAAACAGAGTTTTAACTCTGTAGTTGAAGTGAGGACCCTCTTCTACTAAGAAAAATTCGAAAGTATGAAACTGCAAAAACTGCACACATTTTAGGTAATTCATTGCATATGTTGACATTACATTTCCATGAAATTCTGGAAGAATGTGATTATTAATTTGCGAATGGAAGATTCTTTACTAACCAACTAACCTGATCTGTGACTTTTCTTTCCTTTCCCCTTCCCAAATGCATGACCTTTGATGGGATGCTAGGACGAATCTGACAATCTACAGTCTGATGAATTTAAAGCCTGCCTCATCAGTCTAGGACAGGTTGGAAATGACTTGCAGGTAGAGGAAACTAAAATAATTATATTTTCAGATGTAAAAATAGCCAAAAAGATTGCATGTTTAAACTCCAGTCTGTCATAATGCTTTGAAAAGATACTGCCTCTGGGAAGACAACTGGTTTAGATGGACTGTCAGCATCACTTTGAGCTGTATTTTTGCATTTTTCAAAGATTTTTTCAGTTTGTTTGTTTTACTTGGTTTGAGATATTTTATTTGGACACTACTAGATAGCTAGTAGAGCTCTTAAGCTTCTTGCACGCAGATTTTTGTCAATTTTCCTTTCCTCAGACTCAATACAAGTTCTCTTATGCTTTCCTAATACAGCATGACACAATTCTCTCCGAGCCACTGCAATCTTTCACAGCACAGAGGAAAGATTTATTTACCTTCTTACTTTCAAGGCATTTCGTGTTTACTCAGCTTCAGGTCTAGAATGTTGCAGATAGATTATGATCTGGAAAATGAGCAACTTCATTTCATACAAGGTCTTCAACTGATCTCCTTCTAAGTCTTGCAGGTCTCATCCTTCAAGCTAGTATGCACATCTCTGCTGTATTCAGGGTCTTGACAGCCTGCAGTCAGAAGGAAAATCCCTGTACTTAGTTCCCATATATCAGCAGACTGCTCTCATAATGTATTTACTTTGGCCTTGGAATGAAGTATTTCATTGTTTTTCACTGTACTTTTGGCTGCTAGAGATTCCATGCAGAACATTTCAAAGATATTTCACATCAGGGAGGTAGCTTGAGCATCTACTGAGTTTGACTAATTTAGTAACAAATTTTTCTCCTTGCTCTTCTCTTTGTCTTCTCTGGTTGTGTTCTCTGTATTCTTGTCCCATTCATCATCTCTTCTCCCTTATCTCTCCCCTGACCTTTCCTGATGTTACCTTTTTTGTGGTGAAAATGTCTCTTTCCTGTGTGTAATATGTTAGTTACTTCTTCCTCTTTTTTTAAAACTGATGATGGTTCTGGTGACCTGATGGGCAACATCAATGAATACTGTTCATGCACTGGATCCAATATGCCAATGGTCCAAACTCGTCATCTCTCTGGAAATTACCTTGGATTCTTCAAACCCTCCCTTCTATACTCCTTACGTTGTTTTGGTTAATAGAGGAAGAATGGATTGATGGACCATGATGATTTCAGAGCTTGCTTAATTTCAATGGGTTATGATTTGGTATGAGCTTTAAGAAAAAATGTCAGCTGATTCTGCTCGCAGCTAAAACGTTAACCACAGCAATACTAAAGCTTATCTAAATAGAGAGGATACTAATGTCATTCACACTAGAGATAGTACTTTCTTTGCTTTTTCTTTGTGTTCAAATGGTTAAAAGGGAAGTTAAAAGTAAAACAAGACACTCAAAAACCATATTCTATGGTGCACTGCATTGCTCTTTGAATTAATGAAACTTTAAAAACTGAAATTAACAGTTATTAAACTGATGTTTTTGTAAATTTCTCCTTTCCTACCTGCATGATGAAGAATGAGTTTGATACTGTTTAATTTTTTGTAAACTTGCCTTGGGGGTTGCATTTTCCTTGCTTCAATTATTTATTCTAAAAATTTCCTCTGAAATCCACCTTTTTTATGCGAAAGAAAGAGATTATCCTTAGTTAAGCTGTCCTGTATTTGGCATGAAATTTTCAGAATTGTTTCCCTTCTTAGTTCTGTGGGTCTGTGACTACCCTGCTTGTTGGGCTATTGTTTTACTTCCCTGCATGGTACCTAAATTACAATGGTTTTAGGATGAGATGGAAAATGAAGTGTTAAGATAGACAAGCTAAACAGGTATTGTGGGACGGTGGGAGGGAGAGAAGACGGTGACATTTAATTGAAAGATACATATTATGTATTTAGGACGAAGGATACACTTTCCAAAAGCATGGTCCTTTTTTACAGAAGTGGGGTGGGCATTTAAGGTGCAGATTTCATTGGATCTGATTGTTGATGTTCCTGAGTCAGGAAGATGCTTAGTAAGCTCTATAGCCAGTGGTTCCGACTGGTTCATGAGAGGCTTGGGCTGCTGGAGATCGGTATTATGGTGATCATTTTCTTTGTTTTGGATTTTGTGAAAGGGTGAAGCTGAGTTTGCCCGAATCATGTCTCTGGTTGACCCCAACGGGCAAGGAACCGTCACTTTCCAGTCCTTCATCGACTTCATGACTAGAGAAACGGCAGACACCGACACGGCTGAGCAAGTGATAGCTTCCTTCAGAATCCTGGCTTCAGATAAGGTCAGTCACCGTGCTGCTGCTGCAAGGATTCAGTTGCTCTTCTGTTTAGCCCTTCTTGTTACAAGCCTTTTAGTAATAGTGAAGCTTTGTCTGCAGTTTCAGACTTCAGAGAAAGCATGTACATTTTCTTCTTGTTTGGAACCAAGGCTCTTACCTGAAACGGGTGCAGAATATAAGGCTTTGTCTGCATATCCTCATATCATACAGAGCCAACATAAAATTAGGCATTGTAGACAAGACTTAGATGGTTGATCTGTATAATGGATATATTGTACATCAGGTTATTTCCACACCAGCTTTGACTAGTGTGGAACTCGTTCTGCCATTCATGCTGTTGTCTAGATGTTTCAATGCAAAGTTTGGCCCTCTGGAACACAGCCTCGATCAGGTGCACAAGGCTACACCTGGTTGCGAGCCATGTTGTGACTGGGCAGCTCACTCAGTAGGATGATGCAATGTGGTATATCCATATCCTAGCAGAAGCAGCAGGAAGAGGCCTCCTGTAGTTACTGGGTTTGTAGAGGAAGCTCCTGAATTTGGCACACTTTCGTCCCCACTGCCAGATGCACTTGTGACTGAGTGGTGTTTGTAGATGCAAGGGAGTATAATGGCAACACAAGAGTTTCTGGAGGAGTCAGGACCATAAACAGTGCTGCCACAAAACCAATCCTGTGCTGTGGAGAAAGGAGAGATCACAGCAGTACAGGTCTATTTGTCCAAGCTCGCTCTATTGATTTTCTCATTCCAGCTGCTTGTATTGATTTTGTGATCTCAGTTAATGTGGACCACATTTTAAATTCCAGACATGTTCTCAGTAGAAATTCATGTGGAAGATGGTCTCAGGAAAAAGTGGTTTTCATTAGATTGCTATTTTAAGCAATGTCAAGTCTGTTAACAGAGGCTATCCCTCATGTCATAAATGCAAACCATTAAAAATAATAATGCATCTTTCTTTACACATATATTAGAACCTTGAAACTAGCAGGATCTACCTGCATCTGTCCTGGCACTGCAGAAGGGGCAGTAGTGCACTGCAGAGATACTGACTATCCAGGGATAAGCTGTATCTGTAGCAGTCTGCCCATGGCTGCATAGTGCTTGGTAGCTAACATACACAGTCACATATCCTGAGACTGCATTTTGACCTAATCAGTTTGTTGGTGGAATTGCCACCTTCAATTTATAATTTGCGATGGAATTTACAGAGGAAAATATTTCGTCTCAGAAAAATAGGCAAGATGCCCAAGTTTATTAGTCACATTTACAGAAAATAAATATCTTTTGTGTTTTTGAAGAACACATACTGAATTTGTCAATCCTTTTCCCCCTCCCAGCCTTATATCCTGGCAGATGAGTTGCGCCGAGAGCTGCCTCCTGAGCAGGCTCAGTACTGCATAAAGAGAATGCCTCCGTACACCGGCCCGGGCTCTGTTCCTGGGGCTCTGGATTACACCTCTTTTTCATCGGCACTGTATGGAGAGAGTGACCTCTGAATCAGTAATTGGCTGTATTCACTGTAGACACTAAAAATACCCACCTTATTGCCCAGATTGCTTCTCAAAAGCTTTGACAAGCTGATTTAAAAACAAATTTTACAAATACAGTAGGTACTGTCAGTGTAAAGTGCTAGTAACTGAATTAACCAGTGTATATTAAAGTGTGCAGCACGCTAGATACCTGCCTTGTTGGTTTTAGGTTGTCTGTCCTATGCAATGCTAGAAAATCTATTAAAAATTGAAAGATATTAACTTTGGAAAAAATACATTCAGAAAACAGAAAATGTTGAAACTCACAAAATATTTATCCATTTTCAAAATGTTTCAATGCCATATGCGCTTCTTTTATGATGTTCATAAAACTATGTTAGAAGTCATGCTTTTTTTCTTGCATAGAGCAATTTTACTTTCCTCTCATGATTTCTGATTTTGTATGCTTCTATTGGTGGAATTGAATAAAATACTAAAATGCAGATTTTCAGGGAAGAAATATAACAACCACACTTAATTACAAAAATAATCCAGAATGCTATGCTTTTGTCTCAGAGAGTTGTAATATAAGGGGGAAAAGCTGATTAAAATGCAGTTTTAGAATTCTGTAAGCAGTTATTCTCTTTTAGGCCTTTAACTTTTACAGCTGAGGGAATATAACTTTTATAATCAGAAATAATAAGGAAGCTAATTTCATGTGAACTGTTTTGTTATGAAACCCTCATTCTTGTCTATGTTGGACAGTCTTTGTTTCTCAGCATAAGAATGCATTATTACATGTATTAGTGGGCAACATTCATCTCTATCCTGCATAAAGCAAACTCCCAGCTGAGCAAATGTAGTATGGTTGTCTTGCAGCTTTAACTGTTCAGTGCTCAAAATTCAGTTTGTCCTGAGTTCTGCTGCGTCGCAGGCAGTCTGTCTGTCCCCTGCTCCTGTGCGCTAGACGTTTACTGTTTTTTCCATCTTGAGAAATGACAGAATAAAAGCAGTAACTTTTTTACTTGAATCCTACCGACACTGAGGAAATGCAATGTAATCAAACAAAACCATTTACAAATGGTGATGTGAGCTGTGCAGCCCAGTGCTATTAAAGCAATGATGTGCCTATTAAATAAAGTCTGCTTTTCAAAACTTCATGAGACTCTGTCGTTGGCAATTAACCTAGTGGCTTCCTCTATGAACTGGAAACATTTCTGAACATCAAAGGAGTTTTCAGATGCAAAAAGCTCAAAGTCTGACACACATTTCAGTACATTGTATCTGCGTGAACAACAGTCTCTGTGTGCTGCAGAGACATGTCTGGTTTCATGAAGAGAGATGGAGCTCAGAATGAGTTGGAGAGTTTCCATTTAGGTCACCTGACCACAGATGTCCATGACTTGTTAGACTCCAAACTTATATTGATTTTAGTGGGAGGTAGGCACTACTGCTTTTGAGGACATTGGCCTTAACTTTTCTGTATGTCACTTTTTCCTCATGTACAAAAAAGCAGATGTTAAGTACGCAATGACGCTTTTTCTGGCCATTGTTTGGAAATTTATGGATGGCAAGCATTAAAATACTGTGTGTGCTTACAATCCTAAAACAGGCACCCTGCAGGTTAAGGGGGTGGAGAGGGAGCATTTTAAAACAATCCCAGAAGAGACAGACAATGACCAAATACCTCTTGCTCCTCCCTTGTATACAAAGGCCAGCAGAGGACTTGCTAGGGCTAGGATCTCATCTCCTACAGTGCACGTGGAGCCTTGCACACAGCCAGAAGCTGCTACTGCCACTGCTGATAATGACATGGTGCAGTGCCATCTCCTTCTGTGATCACAGTGCCTGTACAAGCTAAGTCAGGAAGCTCTGCCTTAAAGCAAAGCCATCTGCAGCTAAATGACTGCTGGTCAAGCTGAATCCTTTTAAAAAATAAATCTATGTATCTCTCATTGTCATGGTTTAATGCAACTGGAAGAATAAAACATTGCACTTCTGAATGTGGCACAACAGCAAAATGTCAGTGCTACAGGCAGGATTATGCAAAAAAAATTGGCACAAAGACAGTTTATATCTGACACCTCTGTCAGGATCATGTATCTCTATCCACTAATTTTTATATTGTGATATTATTCCTGTTTCTGATAGTATGGAAGGGAGTTCTAAGCTCCTCCTTTAGCTGTGTTCTGTTGATCAAAGCATGTGAGAGATAATGCTATCAGCAGCAAGAGAAAAAACTTTTGCAAAGTAATATTTCCAGTCTTATATCAGGTTTCTAATTTCTAAAGCAGAATGAACAGACCCAGTAGCTGAGAACTGAAGGGATTAATTATCCATTCGCACTTGCCTGAAAGTGTTATACCATAATTATTACTTTAACACGTCTTTTGTGTAAAATGAAGATATATTGTAAAATGTTTTCTCCCAGGATCAATATAAGTAAACTGTGTTATTTTACCCTAGAGAGGGTAATCCTCAAGGTCCTTTAAAATGTTCTGTGATCACGTTCAGGGACTGTGGGTTTTACAGAGAGATTTTCTTTTCCTCTAAGGCTCTGTTTTTAGTGGGTGGCATTTGTATATTTCTGCAGGATCATTTTTCCCACTGGGAATCAACACAGCAACGTTTTCTGTCCACATAATTCTGGCAGCAAACTAGTTTTACTATGAAAAAAGTACAGTAGCTGAGTCAAGGGTAATGAATGTGTCAATCACAGTGGCCAAACCAAGGTTCAATAGCTGGAGGTACAGCATTATTTTGATGAACATGTGAATGAAGGTTGTAGAATAAATTGCAATTCACAAAAGTTGGTAATGCTTAAATGACTGTAATACAGATGTCTTCTGTGACTTTACATGAATACAACAGTCTTTGAAAAACTTCTTGCCAAGACAATTTTGATTTCATAGTAATAATTTTCAGACACTGAATTTTAAAAGGTGCTGATAAAGTTAGAAAACTGCTGTCAATTCCATGCTACCTTCACACCTCCCTTCTTTGTACACAGTTTCCATCACTGTTTTCTTTATCCACTGACCACAAAAGGCTTGGGTCAGAGTTGCTCCTACAGGTTTGTATTTTCATCAGAACATCCTGTTGTTCAGTTTCTAAATTCCTGGAGATTGTGTTCTTTTATTCAGGTTGTTCATGGTGTCTGTAAAGGTTATCCCAGACACAAGTGGTCTCACTGAAGGAGGAATATAGTTCCTGTTAGCAGCTGGATTTGGATGTAAGCAGTTTCCTTTCTAGACTGAAATAGCTTGTGGTTGAGGCTTATTCTGTAAGGAAGTAATTGTTTGATGATCATTAGTAAATGAACAGGTGCTTTGGAGCATGCTTTCCTCACTGTAATGATATCAATATTTTTGATAGGCTTCTAAAGTTCCAGTAATATTTAATGAGAAAATAATACCTATTCATTACCTGTGCCACTCTTCCCAAAGTCTCATGGTTAACAACTGGTGCACTTATTTGCTTGTGCATAAGTCTACCTTCTGCTTGTGTTCAGAGGGTATTTTATTTGGGAGCCACTTCAGCAGCATTAAGCCTAGACTACAGACAGATGTTAGCATGTTCTGGTGAGATTCTACTTGTTTTAGGTCAAATATTTTTATATAGGAAAACTGACTGTTCTAAGCTGGATTTTATTTCACATTAGTCTCTTTTTAAAATGTGTAATTCCTGTTTAATTTTAACCCAAGGTGTGGGCTGTCACCACAAAGGACAAGTCTATCTCTGCTTTTTCCGTGATCCCATTAATTTATAAATAGAACAGTTCCCTGGTCTGGTTACCATGCTGGCTGGGAATACATATCTAGAGTGCTTAGAATTGTAGATTATCCCCTGGAGCAGCAGCCTGTATTTACATTACCTTAAAGTGATTGTATAACTGTGGAATTAGGGACCTAGCCACCTACTTTCACTGAAAGTCCTTTATTATTCTCAACAAAAGAACATTTATGTGCCAACAACAAACCTTGAGCCAGTACTAGGAGTGCCACTAGTTTCCCTCATTAATTAAGGCAACTATATTAAACAATAAGCCAAGTCTTTTCCATATATGAACTTGATTAGGATTTCATATTCTAATCTCCAAAAGAAATTCCTCTGCTATTTTGCTAGGTTTTGGGAAATTTCATTAGCATTTGTAATACAGCTTTTCACAAATTTGTTTATCAGTATATTGCTTTAATTACTTGGAAATTTAATATGTTGGATGAATGTTCTGAGACAATAAATGTCCTGAGGCTATTTTAACACTCATCCGTCCCTCATCTACTTGCACCTGGCCTGTTTTGTTTGAAAACCTGGCTGTTTTATTTGGCCCCAACACATGGAAACTTTCTTCCTTTCAGGATTCCTTTTAAAGCTTTGAGTAAAAAATTACCTTGAGCGCTGTCCTTGGGAGGAGTGATTATCCTGTGTGCTCCCCTGAGCTGGAGCCTTCCAGCTGCATAAGGGATACTTGTGGCAGAAGCTCAGGCATAGAACAGCTCCTCTGGCTCAGACACTGAAGGTTCTGTTTCAGGTTTTAGCTGGTCTGCTGATAAGATTGAAAGAGAAGAAGTGTTTGCACAAGTTGCCAGCAAGTCTGGCCTTGATTTGAATGGAATTGTCAGTACAGGCACAGCAAATTCTTAAAATTAAAAAAAGGCACCACAGAAAAGCAAAGAATGGCTGTATCAAACATCTTGTTCAGACTTGTATCCTGGCTCTCACCATTATGAACTGGAGGAATAATGGAAAAGTCTGAAAAGGAGATGGTAAGTGATCATGTGTGACCAAAAGAGTCTCCAAGCTGACACTAATTTGTGTATCACAAACTTGTAGAACTCTGCATATTGATGCCAAAAATTTAGTCTGTTTTTCTGCCAAAGTAATATATCTGCTTTGAGAGCTCCTTCTGTGTTCCTTTCAGTAAGACCTACAGCACCTATAAACCCTCCACTAGCCTATTGGACATGCTTGAAAAAAAGATTTACTTTTCATTCCTTTATCTTTTTCCAACTGTTTCCCGAAGTCTTTTTGGTTGCTCTGGTTATCGCTTTATCTTCTGGTAACCTACCAGAATTAATATGGACATGATTCCAGCTTTCTGACTATATGTTTGCAAAACACAGGCAACCCAAGAGAGAGGAAATGTTACCTCCCAGGAAACAAACCCCAGTAACAGTTGTGACAAACTCTTTAGCAAACCTATTTAAATGAAAATCAGACATCCAGTAATGTTTGGGGGGTACCAAACCAGGTGAGTGTGATGAACACATATGGCAGACGTGATGTGGTCAAACACTACATCCCTGTCATCTTGTCTATTGCTGCTGTCATTAAACCAAAGGCACAGGATCTAACATTGGGTGATCTTGCTGTGATTTGTTCAGTGTCTTGGGACAACACTCCATGGCACCTCTTACTTTTACCCTCATTATTTGCCAGTGGAAGGTGACAAGGCCTGATTTGCCACAGCAAGGTGGCAAACAACTATACTGTCCTGCAAACAATTTTGGCACTTGGAAATAATTGTCTCATTATCGGAAGTGACTTGTGGGTCACTTCATGGGCTTGAAATGTCAGTATTTTAATATATAAATAAAAATGTACAAGTATTATTACATTCTTAAGCTGTTGAATTACATTTAATTTTTTCCCATTTTTCATTTTAATATAGCTGCATATGCAGTTGAAAGAAATGGAAATTACGCTTGTAGCAAAAAGAAAAATGTAAACTTTACATAAAAAAAGACAACACATTTTTTAACTTTTCATTCTTAACAAACAATACATTTCTATCAGCCACCTAAACTTAAGAAGACTTGTCCAAACAGCAATACAAATGAAATGTTTTGATTACAGTTGTGCAAACATCTTCCATCCATCAAAAATTAATAACTAGCTTTTTCATTTTCTTTCAGTATGAAAAACTGAAACCATTCAATTATGACCCCACCTGATTGCCCCAACACTCTCGCTCTTCTGGGAACTTAAGCAGATTTTCTGTAAGACTTATTGTTTCTTCAAGCCAGACCCTGAACCCAGATGGCCTGGCTAGCCTTATTTGCAAGGGACAACTGGAACAGCTATAGTGAAATGAACATCCTGCCTTTTGGAATAGTTTTTGGAATAAGGCAGCATCTTGATCAGGGTCATTACCCCTT